CCCCTCCCATAAAGTTTATTTTTCAATAAGTGTTGGTCTGATACTGTTAGGATGTTTGCATGGTAGTTACAAGCTCATGATCATATAAATTCTAAAATTGCATGATCTGAACCAATACAAGCATTGCCTGATGGTGTAGTGTTTACTCGTACCAGCCTGTCTAAGATACAGTGAGCTGTTTACCCTGCAAAGAGCTTGCTCTTAATGGTCCATTGAGCTTGAAATTAACCAAATGGAATTAACCATATTTTCTTGATCAACGTTAATCTATTTTTTCCCATCTTTTTTGTATTTTCTATGTTCTTTCATTCCCATTTAATACCTTGATATAGTTTTTGTAAATTGTCCTTATTGGCAAAAATTATTCTTACTCTTGCAGATAGAAAAACTCAGATCTGGAAATTAATCTCGATATATTTCTATATTGACCTCATCAGTCCTGTAGAAAATAGCCAAACTTTTAACATAGAAAAATGAAAACATTATAACAATAAAAAAGGCAACATATAGGAAAAGTAAACACTACCTGGGCAATTTTTTTAATTGTTGTACGAATTTTGGTAAACCTTAAAGAATGGAATGTATATTGAATACAGAGGGAGGAAGGTTGCATTTTTAAATTTAATTTTTGATATGGTTGGTTGCACAGTTTTGTGCAAACAGGGCTGATTTGGGATCTAGTTTTAAATTTAAAAAATAAAAATTCCCCCTCAAGTTTTCCTGTATCTTCAACATTCACCTATGTAGAATATACACTACAGAACAAGGTTTTGAAATTTAACGGAAGAGCTTAAGACTTCCACTTCTGGATTGTTCGTTAGGTTGACCCATAGTCTCGGAACAAAACCTTTAAACTTAGTACTTTTATTTTCAGGCTTATTTTTTCCAGATTTTAAATCTTGAAATTTCTCGGATAATTACCTAAAATGGCAATCCTAGAGTCTGAGTGCTTTTATTTAAGCTAATTGAAATTATCATTTAAAGCCTTTTAAAATAAAAATTGATTTAAATTTTAAATGTTATTATTAAAATTAAGAATTTTTTTAAAAATGAAAACTAAAATAAACTATAAACGCCATCAGGTTTCCTTGATTTGCAGGTTCCTGTAAAAATAAAATAAAATAAGAAATTATATTATAGACACAGTTATTGCAAAAGTTAAATTTAAAAAAAAATAATTAGAATTCAACAACCAAAATAAAAAATAAAATAAAATTCCGTTAGTCTTTGATGTTAGCAAACAGTTTATTATGTGTTTAAGATAAAGGAGCACCGGCTCCATGATTGAGTTTCCAGCCAGGATGTTCATCCTGTCCGGAAAAAACCGCAAGGTTTTGAAAATTAACGGAAGAGTCCCTTAACCAACGGCAAAAACCGTTACTTATAAAATTGTTAACGAACAAAAACAGCCGTTATTGAGAAATAAGAAATAATCTGGAACGGCTGGCATTGTTGACCAGTTCTAAAATATCTTCCATCCGTTAAAATTGAGATCGTTAACGAACTGCGGAAAAAAAGGAAAATTACAGTTAACGTACGGAATGTTCAGTTCTTAACTAAAAAAAATAACAGCAGTACAAGATAAGTACTTCATTAAACGGTTTCAGCTAACCATTAACAAACCGCTTGAAAAAAGTCCGTAAATGCCCAGCCCTTACAAGCACTGTGTAGCAAGATTCTAAATGTCGTCCCTTGTGAGATATCATTATTTTTTTTAGTTAAAAGGGCTGTTGCATTAATTATAAGGGACTCTCCATTTAGCAGAGGCAAAAGATTAGACTTAAAATGACAACCTAAAACTCTTCAAATCTAGCAATTTTAGGATAAACTTGGGTTTCCACCCTCAGTATAATTGGGATGGTAAAGAAAGAAACAAGTATATAGCTGCATTATGCCTGGAATTATACATCAAAGAAAACACCAAATAAATTCTGTACAATTGTCTCTGAAGTCTCATGCCGTGTGGGTAACCCTGTATTCTCAGTTCGTTTAATTTAATATTACACAAATTATTTGCATAGGTTTATTTCTGGTTATCTGACTGTAACAAGAAAAGATCACATAAAAACTAAATTTTTAAAAATTTCACACAATTTGGCAACTTAAGTATAGCGAAAACCTGGAGAAATATATAGGTTGGGGCCCGGTGGGTAACAACTTCTTAGGTCGTTTAATAAATAAAAAACAGTTACACAGCCAAATACAGAACATAACAAAACTTCTTTCCAGTGTTCCGCATACGTCAAAATATTCATTTTTGGAGGAGAAGAGAGGAGTAGGAGGAGTAGGAGTAGGAGTAGGATTATGATGATGATGAGGAGGAGAAGGAAGCGGATGAGGATTAGAATGAGGATGAGGATGAGGATGAGGAGGAGAAGGAGGATGAGGATGAGGAGAAGGATGAGGAGGAGAAGGAAGAGGATGAGGATGAGAAGGAGGATGAGTAGTAGTAGTAGGAGGAGGAGGAGTAGGAGTAGGTGTAGGAGTAGGAGTAGGAGTAGGAGTAGGATGAGGATGAGGATGAGGATGAGGATGAGGATAAGGATGAGAGAGGATGGAGGAGAGGATGGACAAGACATAGGCAGCCTAGAAAGAGGAAATTTTAGAACGTGAGAGGTTAAACAAACCTTCAGTGAGGAAAAAAACAACACTTTTTCAGCGAGTAGGTACAAACACGAAAATTAAATTTAATTAAATTAAACTGGTTCGGAATAATTCTAATAGATTTACTCCGATGAACCTGAATTAGTAAGGTTTGAAGAAGTCTAGGTGAGGCAGGGACATATTGAGGGACATATTGGCATCTCGTTTTATCACATGAATAATTTTTCACAGGGGTAACACACGGGGTTGGAGGAGTTTTACACCCCCTACACCCTCACTGTATACCTACACCCCTTAATATATACATTTATAGATCATGACATGAGATTCAATCATAGTGCTGAGCCCTGTACATGGAGTTTACGTACAGTAACTTAGTTAGGTATACTTTGTTTACATATTTGCGTTTAACTGTACATAACAATCACAAGCTATGATAAATTGAAGTTCTACTTGTTTATTTCTATTCCTCATCTTCTGAGAGGATCTTTAGAATATGTTGGAGGAATTCCAGGGGCACCGTTCATTCCTAGGGGGTGCCCTAGACCAAGGGGCGGTAATCCTAGTGTGGGAGGTACGGAGGCTGCGCTATAGGGGCTAGAGAGGTGGGGGCCAACCATCTTGTGCCCCAGTGTAGTAGGTGGATAATAACCAGGCATTGCATACCCGGCCATCTGAAGCGCCTTGGCATGATCCAATTCGCTCAAGCGCATTAGTTCACGTTCACGTGCTTCACGCAGTGGATCACGAAACAGATCCATCCGGTAGGGATCTCGGAATGGATCAAGGGCGGCCGCGTGATCGAATGGATTCGGCTGCCGGATGGAAACACCGCCGAGAATATGATGTCCAAGCATTGCCATGCTTGATGCGGCCATGTGATGCGGTGCCATCTGATGCGAGGGAAGACCATATGAGGTGGGTGTAAGGACTGATCTACCATAGGGATCAGTTGATACTGGTAACATGTGAGATCTGGAGTAGTAACTACTGGGTAAACTAGTAGGGGGTAGTCCGTACCCTTTCACCGACGGACTATCACTCTTGTGAGGTCCATTCACCGTGGGACTATTCCTATGAACGTGAAGTAGGGACTGACGACTAGACGGCCGATCGTCCAAGCCGTTAATTCGATGAATGGTATTTATACTATGATCTGAGTTTACACTGGTTCGTCCTGTGATCACGGGGGGGCCTCTGATACCTTCTTTCTCCATGACTATACATATCTCATCGTCTCGGCGGGGATCACCACCACCACGAGACGCCGATGGAGGACGGGAGGATTGACGCGGCAAGGACGATTCTATCCGCATATCAAGAACGTTTTCGTCGTCCTTTCTTGACTCTGATTTAGATGGATTGACTTCTATGATCTGCGGGCTGCTATCACTACGGATGGGAGATCTATCCCTTGAATCCAAATCTCCATTTCTGTCCTTTTCCTGAAAATCAGAAGAGTTGAGTCTTCGCCACAAACTCACATTTTCTAATCCTTTTATCTTTTCAACCTGATGGTGTATACCTTTGATTTTTTTTTGAAAGAATTCATCGTTTGAAATATCAAGGTCTACGACATATGTTGCAAAGATATAGGGATTAGAAAGTCAGAGTTAGTGGCGAAGACTTTTAAAATTAAGTTTAAAATTGTGAATGATAATCAAAGAATAAGACTGGGGATTATTACAACTAATGAGAAAACGATTTGAATGGACTAAATTTCATTTTGATGCAGATCCGGATCCAGGTTATTTCTTTAAAAGTTACTTAAGCAGAATTTTCAAATTTTTTGTCTTATTTTTAACTAAAACTTGACTTGAAATCAGGAAATTTTTGCGGATCCGGATCCAGGAAGCCAAAATCTTGCGGAGCCAATGGATCTGGATCCTAAGCACTGAATTTTAAAATATTAGTTCTCGTAAGTTGCGAAAAATAATTTTTGTTAACATCTATCTAACCATGAGCTTAACGGATACTGATTTTCACATCTCGTGATGAAAAACTGCTGAAGGTTCTTTGTATTTAATTCAGTGCTAAGGATCCATTTAATTTTGACGCGGATCCGGATCCTGGATCCGCACTGGAAAAAATGGACCCAGATCCGGATCCCGGTTTTTTCTTTATAATTTACTGAATTTTTTAACAAAGCAAAATTTTCAATTTCCAATGTTCATGAATAAATAAAAAGAAAATCAATATTAAAGGAATCTTTCAGACACGAGATAATTCTTGAAAAAAAGTTGTGAAATTTCCACATTTTTCATGTTATCTTAATTTTGAATTTTCAGGTCGACTCCCTATCCCTCTTCGGAAAAAAAATTTTGTTTTCAAAAAAAAAAAAGGATTAAACTAACCTTAAAACTGGATCCATCCCTTCCTAATCTCATCTCATGATCCCTATTCCTCTGCAACCGATCCCTTTCCTCCCGCTCCCTTCTCTCTCTATCCTCCCGATCCCGCCTCTCTCTGTCTTCCCGTTCTCGTATCTCTCTATCCTCCCGCTCCCGTCGCTCCCTCTCTCTGTCTAAGGGAGGTTTTCCGGGATAATGCGGGCTACTGAGGGAGGATAGGGGAGGAGGGGGCCCGTAGTGAGGAACAGAAGGTCGGCTAAGATGTTGGGGCATGGCCCCAAGTCCACCGAAGGGGGCGGGGCCCCCGGCACTGGGATATCCGGGATAAGGTCCTGAAATAAATCAAAATATTTTTACGGAACACTTCATTTTTTTATTTAACTGAAGTACAATCCTAAAATGGATTGATTGTAGATTAACAAGTCGTTGACGTTTCATAATTTCAACATCTTGTAAAAGGCAAAACATTCTTCCTTTCCTTTCTCATCTGTGCTGTAGAAATTGAAACGTTTGGAGCATAGTGTTTCAATAAGAACATATTTTTCACCAGTGCTCAGGATCCGGATCTGTTGGATCCGCAACATTTTGGAAAAATATACGGATCCACGGATCAGGATCCAAGGAACAAAACATTAATCAACTGCGAAAAAAAGATTTTTACTGATGAAACTCAAATCTGAACTGTTTAAAAAGATATTATCAAAAATTTTCTTATTGCTGCATGGTTCATTAAGTTGAATTATTAAAATAAGCGAAAAAAAGAAGAAAATTAATTTTAAGTTTTCTTTTGTTAAAAAATCATAAAATCCGGATCCATTTTTCTCCTTGCGGATCCAGGATCCACATTAAAATTAAATCAATCCTTAGCACTCTTTTTCAGGGTTCAAGGTCAGTGTGGTGATTCGTTAAATTTGAAACTGTTTTTATTAAAAATAAAGTTAATAGGTTACAAATAAAAGACAACGGAACTGATTACTCTACGTACTTTCTTATTTTTTCTTATATCTGATTTCGTGGTCCTTTGACATTTCAAACTATAAATTCTGCTATATCAAAAGTTTAAAGTTTGAAAAATGATTGCAAAGATATAGGGATAAGAAATACAGAGTATGCAACGAGTATTTCAGTTTTCTAATGCTTACCTAAAGGTGGAGCACCATAGTAACGCGAGGGTGCCGCGTATGGAGATCGTCCCAGGAGGTCGTAAGGCGGGGTGGGGAGACCCATAGCCCCACCGTATAGTGTGGGGGTCCGCCCCATTAGATCCTGCGGGGGCCCTGGACGTTTTCCCATATAATCCGGACCCGGGGGTCCCTGAGGTTTGTTTAACAACTCAAAACCATGAGGTTTAAGACTGTTTGAAGTAGGAGGACCATTTTTATTTTCACTTTTTGCTTTCTGTTGATGATTATATATCTCCCAGGCAATTCGTACATGCATTGCGTTCCATTTACCAGTCTTCTGAAACATAAAGTTAATATTAAAGAAAATGTCACAAAAAAAATGAAAGGGTTTACGCTAAATAATAATTCAGCTGTACAAGTACACGTAATTTCCAGTAACCCTTCAAATTTCAGAATGGCACGTCTAATTCACAACGGTTACTATAAAAGCTTTGTTTATTCAAGAATGCGTATTGAGTAAGATATTAATGTTTTCTTTTTTAAAACTGACATATTTCATCTGTGGTTTCCTACAAAAGTGATTTGCGCATTTCTGGTGCAGGAAGAATGAAGGACAGATAAAGGTTCCATCGGTAAAATTATTCAATCAATCAAACATTTGTTCTATCTTTTTACTTTAAGAAGTTCAGAAGGTTTAACATCAACAAAAACAAAGGAATAAATGATGGTGAACAACTATGGAATCATAAAAAATAGATTAACGTTTTAATTGACCATTTTACGTCGGAAAAACAAGCAATAAAAAAATCTAAAAAAAAATTATTCCTTTTAGCTAGTTTATTNGCGTTATAAAATAAAATATATTAAAATAATTATATTTCTACCTAGTACCTACACTAAAATGTAAAGATAGGTGTAAAATACTAATATTAAGAATTAATTGAGGATTATTATCAAACTTTAAACTGTATTTTTATTCAGTAATTAGCTCTTAGAAAATACTTATAAACTTTATTTAATAATTTACTTTTTAATAGATATTAATTTTCACTTTACATTGACAAAAATGCAGGGGTTGATTTAGGTTGATTTGTCGATCTGATTTCAGATCAAATCGTTATATTCATAACGGTACTCTTTACCTTTTATCAGACTTATAAGATATAAATATCGTCGTTTTTCAGCTCGTATAAATTTTTAGATGGATTTATCACTTCTAACAAAGTTTAACAAGCGTAGTTGTATAAAAAGTCACTAGAAATTACGTGCAGTCTCTTTAACATGAGCAATAATAACTTTCCCGCAAAACGTGAACGTGAACGTAAACAACGTCAATGTCAACGTCAACGTCAACGTCAACGTCAACGTCAACGTCAACGTCAACGTCAACGTCAACGTCAACGTCAAAGATGTAGAGCAAAATTTTCACATTGACTCAAACAANTCAACGTCAACGTCAACGTCAACGTCAACGTCAACGTCAACGTCAACGTCAACGTCAACGTCAACGTCAACGTCAACGTCAACGTCAACGTGTAAGATGTAGAGCAAAATTTTCACATTGACTCAAACAATTAAAATTCAGGCTTTTATTTACTTTAGCATTTTTATAGTTTTTAGAGGCAATTTATTTTGACAAAACGGTAAAAAGTTAAACATTAAGATTGTATAATCTTGATTTCAGGAAAATTAATAATAATTAATAGATTTGAATGGAAGAGAAGAATTGGTTTCTTCCAATAATAATTTCACTAAAAAAATTAGCTTTGACCCACCTTAGGCTGTGATTGAGTGGCTGGTTGAATAGATGCTGCTGAGAATGGAGGACCCTGCAGAGGTATCTGATGAGGGTAGGAGGAGGAGGGAGTACCCAATCCTGCAGCTCGATAGAACAAGGAGTCAGGTCCACCCAGTTTAGGAACATCTTTAACCTAAAGAAATACAGGGGTTAAAGGGACAGTACACGGGATTATATGCGAATATTTTGCCCGATTTACAACGGTTCATTTAATTTTTTTGTCTAGTTTTCAACCTTAAGTTTGATTATTTCCAATTCCTGTGTTCTGTAAAAGGGTATTGTTGTGAACCAAGTGGTCGCATGGTTGATGATGCGGTTGTGTTTATGATCGTACCCAAGTGTTCCCATGGTTATTGTGGTTATAGTTTAAACCTATCTTTTTAAAGTCTGTTAACCCCCAAAGCAAAATCTAATAAACAAATGATAATTAATAAAAAATATGTTTACCAGGGGTGAGGGAGGATAGAGGGGGCCCGGAGGGTATTGTGGTGCACCCATACCCCTGGTGGAAGAATGGGGGCCAAGGTGTGCCCCTAGCCCCCTTGAGGCAGGGTTAGGACTAATAACAGTGGCCAGGGTTCCGGAAGCACTAAATCTATCTAATTCCTAAAAAGGAATAAAAATATAAAATAAATAAAATTAACATAAAAAATATATCAATCCTACTTCAATGCAAGGAATATAAAAGAAACTTCCATACAATAATGTGTACTGCAGTTTCTGGGTGGAGCCTAAAGAAAGTTCAGCCTCTGCAACACTGAAAGTGTTTACATTCCTCCCAGAAACTGCAGTACACAATAATTTATACAAGTACCTGTTATATTCCTTGCTTCAATATACTTAAAAAATTGTTAACTTACAGGTCTGACTGCTGGGCTCGGAGCAGCTGATTTAGAAGGAGCTGCTAGTGAAGCAGCTGCAGGAGCTGGAAGAGAAGCCGCTGTCAAAGGAGCTGGTAGAGAAGCAGTTGTTGAAGATTGAGTGCATCCCACGGAAACACTGAAAAATTGTTGTAATGTAGAAGGAACGGGAAACGTAATTTCAAGTGACCCTTCTTTGATAGAGTGACATGACCGATTCACATCGCTACCCTTAAAAGCTTTGCCTGAGCTAGAATGAATCATATATCCATATTTTTATTTTTGAAAACTGATAGTCATTTGTGGTTTCTATACAAAAGTGACTTGCGTATTTCTTGCTTTATGAAAAACGGAGAAATTATCAGAATTAACACTTTTCAAGATATAAAAACGACGGTATCTTCAACATTATTGATCAGAGCTGAAAACTTTAGAATTGGATACCCGTAATCCTGATCGCTTAATCTGAATATTTACTTTGGAAACTTTTAATTTTCTTTTTAATCCGATTTTGTTGGAACATCACATTTTCTAATACATGTAATAAAGATACGTTTGATTACAGATACACATACGATGCTATATCGATTGGACTAATATCCGATTGAACTAAAGTCAGCTGTTCACAAGCCGGCTTTCAGAGCATTTAAGCAAATATAAATTTAATCTTCAGGTTCTTTAAGGACTGTCGACCTTTTCAACATTAATCCAAATCTTACGTTCGTTCAATCGATCATCAGTTCAATTGATATGACACCAAAAATGCGGGAAAATTAAAAACCGGTTTTTCAGAAGTTGAAGAGGGCATCTCTAATCTCTAGACTAAATTAGGCTCGAGATTAGCCAAAGAGAGGGTCAAGCATTGATCTCGATATCCACCATTCTAAAGTTTTCAGCTCAGATTACATAGTTTAAAAGGGTACATGTTAATCGGATAAGCCTCTATTTTAAAATGAAGGCTCACTTAGAATTACAAACACAGTCCCAGAGAGACTTTAAAGCTTACGTTTAACTAGACGAAATCCCCATAAATATCAATATTCAAAATCCAAGTGTTATCACTACTTTAACTTATCAAGAATAAAGAAGTGAAAAATACAAACTTTAAGGCAATATTTTTAGACAATTTTTCTCAAATTCTTTTCAAAAAAGGAAAAGAAAAAGTTTAAAATATGCGTCAAAACTATCAATATCTCTAACTTTACGGTTTATTTCGTCAAATATAATAAAAAGTATGAACACCAAACACAATTTCTTAAAACACAAAACAACACTTGTTGCAAATTTTATTTTACCCCATGGATTTTTGGTTTCGGGATAGTCAATTAATTTTTAGAGCATAAGTATCAAAAAGTCCCGTTTTCCAATCCCTGATAATAATAGTTAAAATTGTTTTCAGGGGTGTAAACTTTCTTGAAAAATCTTATCCTCCGCCCTCTTTTGAAAACCATTTTTAACCCAGAGAATTTAGGGAGTTTCGCCAAATCGAAAAAACGATTTTTAGGCGAAAATAAAAAAATATTTAGGTAAAATGTATAAAAAATAATGAAAAAACTACCCGTTTGATGTCCTTTTTTAAAACCCAGATCTTCAAAACTAATTGTTCCCCACCCCAGGGGGGGGGAAGGTTTAATTCTTAAAAATGTACACCCCTGAATGTGTTGACCGCTGATTGAATACTTGGCACTAGTTTTAGTTACCTGCCGCTGCTCCATGAAGGTTTAGTGGATGAACCAGAGAATGGTACAACTGTTCCAAGCCCTGATACTCCAAAAGCAGGTGCAGGGGCTCCAAGAGAAGGAGCGGGGGCTCCAAGAGTAGGTGGAGGGGGAGCAAGAATAGGCGCAGGGTCTCCAAGAGAAGGAGCAGGGACTCCAAGACTAGGTGCAGGGGCTCCAAGAGCAAACCCTTGGGCTCCAGAAGCTGGTCCAGGGGCTCCAGAAGCTGGTCCAGGGGCACCAAGTGCAGATCCAGGAGCTCCAAGTGCAAGTCCAGATGCTCCAAGAGAGGACCCTGAAAGGGTTGGTCCCAGAACAGAGCTTGATACTGCAAGAGAGGAAACAGTAGAAACAGCTCCAAGTGATGATAAACCTGGTGATCCTACAACATGACCAGGGCCTCCAAGAGATGGTCCAGGGGCGCCAAGGGATGGTCCTGGGGCTCCAAGTGCTCGACTAGGGGTTACAAATGACCCCTGTGTCCCTATAGGCGCTGGACTAGACCCAGGAGGTGTCCAATGACCGCTGAAATAAAAATGAGATAAAAGTCACACTAATTTTAAGTCACTTTAAAGCTTTAAGAAATGCAAGTATGCTCTTTGCAAGAATCTTGAGACTGTTTTGTCCGCGTAAATCTAATGACAACTGAAGCCTGAGCTTAATTTATAAGACCGGTCCCGGACGCCATAACACAGGCAACTCACAAAAGAGAAGAAGAATTACAATTTTTTTTGGCCCAAAAATCCCATTACATATTTTTAAAGAAAAACAAAAATTTTAATTTATTTATTTTTTGTTTAATTTCTCGAAAAAGTGNAAACGGTTCACAAACGCTTCTCAGACATTTTTTCTCTTTTTTTTGGTATTGCCATTTAACTAGTTTTTAAGTTTACTAAATTATCAGTAGAATAAAAACCGAACAGACTCGTAAAAAATGAAAAATAAATTATTACAAAAATGAATGAGATAAAAACCTGTGACTGGATGAAACAGGTCCTCTGGCTAGATCCTGTGCCGAAGGCGGACACTGGGAATGTATTGAAGATGATGTTTGTCCCTGCAGCTGAGCTGGGGCGGGGCCGGGGGGCTGGGCTTGCCCGCTGGAATGACTTGTGGGTGTTCCCAAATTATATCCGGATGACGGGGGTTGTAAATTAGTGGCCGGTGGTCCGTTTGGATGACTAACAGGGAGACCGTAGGGATGAGAAGTTGGTTTGCTTTGCGGATGAGAAGTTATCGGCGAGTACGGATGAGAAGAGGATGGGACTTGGGACTGAGAAGTGGAGACTACGTGTGGATGAGAATTTGTATTTGGATATGGATGAGAAGTAGGGAGTGTTTGTGGATGAGAATTTTGAGGGGTGTTGGGATGAGGAGACGGTTGGGAGTGTGGATGAGGAGACAATTGGGAGTTTGGATAAGAATTATGAGGGGCGTGGGTATGAGGAGACGGCTGGGAGTTTGGATGAGAAGGTTGGGAGTGTGGATGAGGAGACGATTGGGAGTTTGGATGAGAAGGTTGGGAGTGTGGATGAGAGGAATGAGAATGTGGATGAGGAGACGGATGAAAGTGTGAATGGGGAGAAGGTTGGGATTGTTGATGAGAAGGTTGGAAATTTGGATGAGAAGGTTGGGAATGTGGATGAGAAGGTTGAGAATGTGGATGTGAAGGTTGGGAATGTGGACGAGACGGATGTGATTGTGGAAGTGTAGGTTGGGAATATGGATGAGAAGGTTGGGAATGTGGATGAGAAGGTTGGGAATGTGGATGAGCACTAGACTGATGGTTGGAGCCTGCTGCAGGAGTAACGGAAGATTGAATATCCTTATATGAACGTGGTGCTAGAGAACCGTTCTGGACACTAACCCCAGATCTAGATTTAACATTAGTATTAGAATCCATCCTTAAAACCTTTAATGCATCTAAACCTTTAATTCATCTAAACCTTTTATTCATCTTCACCTTTAATTCATCTAAATCTTTATTTCATCTAAACCTTTAATTCATCAAAACCTTTAATTCATCAAAACCTTTAATTCATCAAAACCTTTAATTCATCTAAACCTTTAATTCATCAAAACCTTTAATTCATCAAAACCTTTAATTCATCTAAACCTTTATTTCATCTAAACCTTTAATGCATCAAAACCTTTAATTCATCAAAACCTTTAATGCATTTAAATCCAAATGGGCAGATTTTTCTTATAATTGGTATATTTTCAATTTAAGCAAAAAGGGCAAGTTAGACGCTGAGGCCCGTTTTTAAACATTCAAAGTTAGAATCTGAGTTTCAGATCGTAATTCAAAATTGCATGGTTGACAAGTGTGCTTTTAATTTTACTCTGATATAAAACATATAAACTAAACGATTTTCAAAACGATGAATAACATCGGTTTCCGTGGACCTCAAAACGATGGACATCCTTGGTTAGACATGAACAGTATTAACGAACATAATTTTGTTTTCAGAGAAACTGTTTGAAACCTAGATTATTTCTTTTATACGCAGCTTAACTAGAAACTTGCTCCATAAATAAATAAATAAAATAGTTAACCATCATCCCGTGGGAGTCAGAAAGGATTATCATATTAGCGATCGAAAAAGTAACAGAAAAAAACTGATCCACTACTATTTCACAAATCCCTTTTTATAAAGTTGATCAATATTAAGGCCGTTATATAAAGGGACCCTTCATGCAAAAGATGATTTGTCTGATCAAGTATGAATTAGATATCGATATTTTTGTTTCTTTAAACTATTTATTTTCATTTGCAGTTTGGCCTGCGAAAGTAACCAGCGCATTCCTCGCATATAAGAAGTAATGGAGAAACTCGAAATTAAAACTTTTTCGAATCAGAAAAACGACGGTATCTTCCACATTTTGACCAGATAAGGTTTCAAATCAGTTTCATATCAGGGGTAAGGTTGTAAATCAGGTATTGCCACCTTTGCATGGAGGGTCATTAGAAATTACGCTACCAGTCCTTATAATGGAAGAACTTTGGTTTCTAAATAACATCAAATATACAAAGATTGTTCAAATGTCGTCTTCATTTTCCACAATGGTGTGGGTCCCACTAGTTTTTTAAATCGATTCTCTTTGCTAAATTCCCAAATTGCATCTTTGTTTGTTTAATTTTCTCTAAGTTTAAAATATTGGGGAGAGTATTTTCCAATAAAAAATATTGAAAATACGGCTGAACGGAAATTTTTGGTTTAAAGATATAGTGACTTCTAACATTAAAGCTTGTGATAAAAATGTTGAAAATTGATATAATCCGAGTTTTAGATTTCAATTTGACATGAGATACATCTTTCAACACAGATATCATAATTTCTTCGTATAAAAACATTAATTTTCCTAAACCTTTCAGGATCCAAGGGACAAAATATCAAACCAAACCTGCCAACAAAATTATTTTTGCAACAAAATCTCAATTGTTAAATTAGCAACTTCCTATAATCTGAATTGTTCAGTAAGATTCAGCATAAAAATAGCGATTTTAAAAACTTTTTTCTTCTTTTTAAAATTTCATAAATCTTGAAGAAATAATGCCTTTTGTATCTAAATCCGTTTATTAGGACGGATCCGGATCAAAATTAAATAAAGCCCATAGCTTATAACTGGCTTTACAAGTTGAATGGAACGTAATGTATACATACACCGTTCCGGGAGGATGAAACTTATATATACGCTTTAGATTTCCGCAAGAATTAAGCTCCTTGGATCCGGAACCGGAGTCGCAAAATTATGAAGATCCATGGATCCGAATCCAAATGTAAAACATCAAAAAAGTTGTTGTTATCAAAACACGAATTTAAAGCGTCAAATAATGAGATTGACAATTATATCAAGCTTCTAGATAAAATGAGCGGACAACAAAAATTGTTAACTTTTGCTGAAAGTGAAAAGGGATTAGAGCAACTAGAAAAAATCATGGACAAAATACGGATCCGGATTTTCTTTACACAACAGATTTCCGCATCAAAATGAAATGATGTAAAAATGTAACTATGTAAGTAGCCCTTGTAAAAATATAAATACCTTTGAGAAATTTCTCCATTTGTCTGGTAAACTGGATGATTACGAGATGAACCGGGTTGGACCGAACCTGGACCGGATGGTGCCGGAGCAGAGCCGCCTGGAGGTAGACCGGAGCCGGGTTGTCCGACTGGCTTTCCGGCAGTGGAACCCGGATATGGAGCGCCGGGATATCCAGGATATCCGGATGAACTGTTGGGGTAACTAGAAGAGCTTACCGGATAGTTTGAACTACCCGGATGTCCGGTTGTTGAGCTGGGATATCCCGGGTTGGAAGGTGGGTAGCTACTTGAATTGGTTGGGTAACCAGGTTGACCAGGTGCAGGCGGGTAACTATATCCTGGTTTATTATGGTAACCACTGGGATAACCTGGGTAACCTGAGGGAGGAGGATAACCTCCAGGATATCCAGCAGTAGGAGGATATCCACCAGGGTATCCTGTAGGGGCAGGATACCCGTAGGTTTTATACTGGCCAGGAGCAGGACCAGCGGTCGTATTCCCGGGTGGGCGGTATGCCGGGTGAAGACTTGAATGATGGGTGGAGCCCGGATGGTGCCCACTGCCCGGGTGAGAGGCTTGTGCTCCCGGGTGATGACCAGGGTGATGTGAAGGATTAGAAGACTGATGATGTCCTGCTTGTTGGTTGTGGTGAGGCGGGTATACACTAGGGGCGGTATATATCTGGCGGGGGGCGGGGTTCTGATGACTGGGTACTCCAACTAAAAATTTTACATTTTATCATTATTTTTCAAATTTCTTTTAAATGTTTACAAACACTAACTGAAGTCATTCACATTCTTATTTTCAAAATTTAGAGTATTTTAAAATGTCCGTTCTGAGTTTTAATTGTAACTAACTGATTTGTAATTTTGACCTCAAGCCACAGCATGAAGTACGTTATACTGTGTGCAACCTACTTGGTCTCGTACGCTTGGTTTGGTCTATACTGTTTGTAACAACCCCCCCTTTCCCCCTACCCCAAGTACAGTCTAACAGTATAAAGCTTGATATGAATTACGTTTGATTTGTACTGTTTAAACCCAATCCATTGCAAAAAGGTTAGTTTAATCTCAGTACTGTACAGTTTATATGTTGTGGAGAGTGCAGAGATCTATTAAAGGCTAGAATATGCGATATTTTCCACAGCAGGTTATATTGTGTACAACTGGAGTACACAACCAATTAGCACAGAAATCTATATTCAGAAATGTTAAAGGATTCTATGGATACAAAATACAAACCCTTCAAACAAAAGACTAAATACATGAAGTGTATGTTTTATATTAAAAGTTAGAGTATTTCTTTAAAAAATTGTAAAACTTAATTAAATGCAACACAAAAACTTTTTGTTGTACGACTATCAGGCCTACTTAGCCCAGCCAGTGAAAGCTGATTTGCACTCATTGTAGTCTGTGATTGTAGTACCTTGAGGATGTACTATCTAACCCCAACACCTGATGTATGCGTTTATTATGTTCCGTACCTGGTGCAGTACGTTGTGGAGTTGGACTAGTAGAGTATGGTCTATATAGTCCTCCACCTCCTCCTCCTGCTCTCTGCTCTACGGGAGGAACGCCTCCTGATTTATGATGAGGTAAGCTGAAGTTCAGGGGGGCGGGCTGCCCCGCCCTAATTCCTTCACCACCGTATCCATTTACTAAAAAAAACATAACTTGTTGACAAGAGCACAATTAAATATCTTGAATGTAAATAAATCAAGTTTGAAGTGGCATCATTAAAGGGACTGTAAGCGGTATTTCAAGTAACCCTCGATGCAAAGATACCTCATTTTACACGGTTCCCTTCAAAGCTTTATCTCATCAAGTTCCAATTAGATTTCCATGCTTTTATTTATAAAAAAAAGTTAATTACGCATTTCTTGTTTATTAGAAACAATAGAGAAATGAACAGAAATAAACAGCTTTTATCTTCCACATTTTTCAAGGGTACCGTTGTGAACCAGGCATTGCTAATTTTTCATAGAGGGTTACTTAAAACTACGCTCACAGTCCCTTTAACAATTGTTCATAAAGAGTGTCGTAGTAATTTAAAATGCACTTAAAGATATACCATTACCCAATTTACAACAATTTAGATTATCAATATTGTTAAATGTATTTTTTCGTGGTTGAAAAGTGTTAAATTTTGACAATTTCCTCCATTGTTTCTTAAAAGCATAAGTAAATTCTCAAAGAGAAGATTGTGGACATTCTTTATTAAAGCTTGTTGTGAATCGGACATGACAGTCCTATTACACAGAATAATTCATCAAAAAGAATGGAAAGGTCCTTTTTTTACTCCTGCAGAGTGAAAGAATTTGAACTCGTGCTTTTATTCTATTTGATTTGGTAATAAAACCTTTAATCTTAAATATACAAAACAAATGAAATAATTAATTTATATTTCACCTTCTGTCATTAAATATTTATTACTAATAAAATAATTTAATGACCGGCATTATAAAATATGGAACATTGAAACTGTATCACACTGTTTAGTAATTAAACCCTTGTCAATATTTAATTAGATTCTTCCTTCTCTTGGACCAAATCATTTTTGCAATTAAACGAGTGTTTGAAGGTAGTGTCTGGCTGAGCTGAGTGCAGTTTGTTAGGACTCATTTGAGACCTGTGAGACGTTTGTACAGTGCATATTTGTTCAGCAAAAGCACAAATTCAATCTTTAAAACCCTCATAGATTATTCATTTTGGAGGCATGATTTTTACAACCGTTATTTTTAAATATTCTAAAATGACGACGAAAAATGTTTCTACAGTAGATAAATTGTCAATAAATCAATTTTATAATCAATCATTTCTTTATCATCATTATAATGAATTTCTTATTCTTTACAAATTTGTTCGCAGATTTCTTCAAATTTTCAAATGTCCCGTATTCATAAAAATTTCAGGAAATCTACGGAAAATGTTTATGAACAATGAGACATTACAGAAACCAAGAACTGAACAAGATTACGTATTTTGATTTTTAGGGATTGTTTCTCAAATATTAAATTAAAGGGACAGACCGGCTATGTAAGGTAGTTGAACTGAGTATGCAGTGTTGTGGAAAGCTTCCTTAGGATTCATTTGAGGCATATAAAACTTTATAAAGATCTGTAAATCCTGAGTTTGAGCGCAAATGCGACGTTCAAAACTCCTACTTTGGGAGTGGATACGTTTTCAGAATTAGATTTTTTTAATTATTGAATAACGACGACATAAAATGTAAAAAAATTCAACAGTAAACTAATTAGTTGTTAAGGAACCGGTAGAGAAAATAAAAATTGATCTTATCATTAAAATTAAGTAATCTTGTTCAGTTATTAGTTTCTGTTTTCTCATTATTCACAAAGATTTTCTGCAGATTATCTGGAATTATTATTGAAAAGGCGACATTTGATGAATTTGAAGAAATCTGCAAATAAATTCAAAGAAAATAAGAAATTCAATATAATGATGAAAACATAATAATTGATTCTAGCATTGATTTATTGACAAATTTCTTTTGAGAAATATGTTCCTAACCATCTTATTAGATTACTGTAAAATTTTTACTTTATTTTTCGTTTTCGTATTTGAAAATTTAAAAGAACCCAATTCTGAAAACGTATCCACCCCCAAAGTAGGAGTTTTGAACGTCGAATTTGCGATTCACACATCTTTAAAAAGTTTTATATGTCTCAAATGAATCCTAAAGAAGTTTTCCACAACACTGCAAACCTCAGTTTAACTACCTTACATGGCCGGTCACTCCCTTTAAGGGTTCCTTAATTTCACGTCTACAGCTTCTTTAAGTATAGGGGGATAAGTCATCAAGTACAGAATACCCAATTGTGATACATTTAAGAAATTGTTATCAATTATTCATGTTTACTGTTTAGTGCGCAACTAAGATTGAGATCGATTACAAGGTCCCATAAATTGTATATTTTATTTCATAAAGATTTTTTTTTATTATCTAACGGGAATAAATTAAACATCGTCACATTAAATTATCTCATTTTAAATATTTATATTTGACCAATTAAGAATAAAATAAAATGTGTTAAATTTATATATTGTTTTATTTTACCAAAACTTTAGACGTGTATCTATAGAACAAGATTAGTTCCTTTTTCGCGTGGGGGCAAAAAATCCGGGGTAAAAAATATAAAATCTTTCTATTTAAAAAAAAACAACCAAAAATATGGTTCAAAACTGAAAATATCGATATTCAAAAGCTGAGATCAAAGGAAAACATCTTGACACAAACCCTACGATATGAAAAAATACTTCAACCTCTGTTGTTTCATGGACGGATTTAAAGGGACTGTCAGCGAAATTTAAAGTGACCCTCCATGCAAAAACGGCAATAACGTTTTACAGCGGTGCCATGGAAACTTTAATCTGATTTGTAGAGAAACCAAAAATAAAAATAATTAGTTTTCAAAAATATAAAATTTCATTTCCAGTTCACACTTATTAGGACAAAGCCTTTAAGGGTAGAATTGTGAAACAGGCATTGCAATATTTGCTGGAGGGGGGTCACATCAATATTATTGAATAAATACCTTTTTTCTTGGGAGAAAACAGGTCACAAACTCCTTCTGAGGTCTAAAAATAAATATATTGATTCCATTGTGATGATTCATGATACAGTGGTATACATCCATTAAAAAATGATATCCCATTTTTCTATTTAATAACAAAAAAAATCTAAATTTGATTTTGAGAAGGTAAGTTTATTTTTTTCAAATAGGTATTTTGGGATATAGATTTTTGAAAAAAAAACCTTTTCAATTTATAAAAAAAAATAATATAAAGTAAAACTTCATAACTATTTTAAGAGACCTTCTTTGAGTCTAAATTGATATCATTATTAAACATTTTGACTAAGGACAATTTTTTTTAACATTTTTGACAAATAAGCATTAATTATTTACATCAATAATTATTAAAAGAATCATGTTATTTGTTTTAAATGTCCTCCCGTTTATTTATAATGTACCCCACTGTATCACTGTACACTAGTGATTAAATAATCATGATCAATCTTGTCGTCACACTGTTTACAGTCGATATTAGTAAACATATTTCATGTCTGTGTCATCCACGTCTTATGTCACTCTTGTGTACATAATTCCTTTGTAGATTATAAAAGGTCTGCGGCCGGGTGGGAACTGAAAAAAACCCCCCCCCCCCCCCTCCCACCTCCACTACCCGTCTTTATCCGCCGGTCCGACTAACCCCGCCCCATCCTGTACCCGTCTTTACCCGCCGGTCCGACCAAACCCGCCTCAACGGTGGGCCACCCGTTCTCAGCCGGCAGAACAAAAAATTGTTTAAACTTGACAAAAAACATTAAAACTAACATTTTGAAGCAAAAAAATCATGTGTCTAAAAATTAATGATTTGATGTGGTAAATTAAATAAATGTTTTTAATTTTCTCTAGGACAAAAAAAAAATATTATCCTAGAAAATCGTTATTTTTCAATAAAAATATAAATTTTTCTTTTTCTTTAACTTGTAGCGAAGAGAAATAAAAGTCAAAGGGGATTTTGGAAAATATAAACCACTGTATGGGGATTATGTATTTGTTCCTGGGTGGGGGAGGGGGGAGAACTCGAGAGAAAAGAAATTAAGAAGGACTAGAAGTGCTATAAAAGATTCTAATACACTGAAACAGCGGTATAAAAAGAAAATAAAACGCTAAAAACGCCATAAAAATAAAACCTTCATACCCATAAAAAGAGGCTGGCATATTATTTATTCATCATTCAAAGCAAAGCAACCCCCCCCCCTCTCCTTCATTCTATTTTTTTCTACATAAATGTTTAAATCAAACCCGAGTTTTATTGTGCTTAAATATTCCCAAGCAAAACTCACAGTTAATTGACAAATCTTCTTTAAACAATTAAAATTCCCAAAAATATGCTTGCAATTAATGTTTAAAACACATTTATGCATGGAAATATTAATTTCTGGCAGTATCGAGCAGATGTGAATGCGTCTATAAAAATATTTTATTGCATTAACAAAGAGCTTTCTTTTTGATGTCAACTGCTAAAAATCCATAACACAATTAACGGAAAAATCTCATCTATCGCAAGAATTTGGATATTTATCGGCATCAGATAAAATTATTTAAATGCGGGAAAACATTTTAATCAGTCCTCCCTACTCTATAACATCAATTGAATTCAGAAAATGTTAATTCCTCGGTAAGAAAGCTTGCTGTATGCAACTATTTAAGCAAGACTCAATAAAAGAGAAAGATATTACTTACAGTAGATTCTTTCGATTCCCATTCCTTTCCCGTTCCCATTAAATTTCCATTCCATCCCGTCCCATCTCCTCCCGTTCCATCCCATCCCATCCCATCGTCCCATCCCATCCCATCCCATCCCATCCTCCCAATATGTTAGATCATTCAGTCTAATCTGAAAACTTAATTTTGTCATAAAACGCAAATAAAAAAGGTCGTGAAAGAAAACGTAAAAAACTATCGTCAATTGTCTCTTAAAACAGTCTACAGCTTTAAAACAATATGAATTAGTGTTAATTGTTAATGCAGGTTTATTTGGACGAATGCAAGACATTAACTATAGACAAAAAACCTTTAACAATGTTCAATGTATGTAATCTGTATAATGTATACTGTTAAGCATACAGTGTACATTGCATAATGTACAGTGAACAATGTAGAGTACGGTTTATGCTGTACATTGGACAGTGTAAAGTGTATAATATAATATAATCTGTAAATTGTATATGCCGTACAATTAACAATGAATAGTGAACAATTTACAGTGCACGGTTTTTTTGTACATTGTGCAGTGGACGGTGTATGGTGTACAGTGTACATAAAATAGCTACTATGACTCACCTTATTATGATCTGAATCACTCTCTATATCGCACTAAACAAAACAAACAAAAATAAAAATGTGCATGGGTGTTATTTTATATCTAATTCATGCAAAATTTATATTAAAAAATTCTAGTTTAAAAATATTTAAAAAAAACTTACACTATATCCCTTATCCGAAATATCACCGGTTTCCTTAAAAATAAAAATAAATAAAAAATGTGTTTTCAATATCATGCAAAAAAATAATATTCCCCCCCCCCTTCCCCACTCTTTCTTAAAATAAAGATTTTTTTCTGTATGCTTAATGTTTATGTGTGTGCATTTAACAAATTCTACAGAAATTCGGTCTGGAAAAACTTGGGGATGCTTTTTATCAGAATTACGAGTGAATGCCTTTCCTCGGACTTTAACAAAAAGCGTTGAACACAGAGGTCCGGAACATACAACTTGACGAAGATACTGGTGGAAAAACGCGGGAAAGAAACGGGGCAAAAAATGTTGGAAAAACGGGGATAAAATGCGAGAAGTGAAGTGAGACGAATAAGAAGGTAGATTGACTGGGCTACCCTAGTTTTTAACCCAGCAGTGAATGTATCTATCACTGAATGACAATGATAAAAAATATTTTCTTAGATCAAATCTACATTTTCAAAAACTTCAGGGAAATTTAAAAATATTTTAAAAGAACTATAATCATGAGAATAATTGGTAGATATCCGAAACCCCCTCAATCTACTTTTTTGCTTTAACACACATTGTTTTGTGCAGTAATACATGGGTAAAAATGACATAATAATTCGATGCTTGAAATTATTTGGATTAAAAATGAGAAGAAATGCTTCAAAATATTCCAGAAGGTTAAACCTATTTTGCCCTTTATCAAATAGTAAAATAAAAAATATATTAACGTATGGGGTCTGGGGGGTTATGTAATGAGTGAGAAAATAAATGATATCACCCCCCCCCCCCCCTGGAAGTTCGTAAAACCTGAAACCTAGCGATATGAAGTGATTTTCGATTAGTTTAAGCCCTCGCACTTAACGGTGTTATGAACTAATAAAGTTTAACGGGCTGCTTTTTAACCCTTGCTCTAGCTGGACAGTGAAACGAAAAAAGCAACCGGAAATTTCACTTTAAGTGATACAGATATTCTTTGCAAAATATATAAGTAACGTAGGCTCCTACTTTTCTTAGTCCTTAGTCCTAATCACATTTTTAACTCACAGTATAATCATACTAATTTGGGAACCCAACTTTGACCGGAAATAAAACTTTCCCTGTTAAAGTCAACCCTCTCCACTGAGGACTGATAAAACAGGCTAAGAACATTTCCGAGATACTACCAAATTCCCCGATCAAAATCTAAGGCAAATCGGTCAAATGGTTCATGAACTATAGGTCAAACTAACGCAGGGAAGGGCTAAAAGTGGTTAAATGAGGGAGGCGGATAAAGAGTGAAAGGAGTGGGGGGGATATTGAGTGAAAGGAGGGGGGGGGCGTATATAAAGTGCATGGAGGGTGGGGGTGAATATGGAATGAAAGGAAGGGGGTGACTACCTAATTTCAATTTATGGTAAATAAGAGAAGTATATATGTTGAATTTAGCCTCTACAACCCTAGTTTACACGCAGTAGTAAAATCTTTATAAAGGATCTTAAGTTTATCGCTGGAGCATAAACTAGGTTTATATCAGGGACAAATACTAGTTCGGATTTCAGAGAGAGATAAACAATTTGTTTTTATCACTAGATTCAATTCAAGGGACTGTCCATATAATTTCAGGAGACTACATTTTACAGAGTATATATATTGGGAGATATTCTTGTTCATGTTTCTAAATTTTTTTTACTGCTGTTGCTATTTAAAAAAGGTTTGAAAGAGGCAGTTAGTGAAAAAATATCCGTCGCCAATCCCTTCAAAGGGACAGACTGGATATCTCAGGTAATTGAACTGAGTATGCAGTGTTGTGGACAAATTCTTTAGGATTTATTTGAGACATATAAAACTTTTAAAAAGATCTGTAAATCCTGAGTATGAGCGCAAAGTCGACGTTCAAAATCGCACTTATGGGTGGATACGTTTTCAGAATTTTTTTTTTTTAATTATTTCATAACGACGACAAAAAATGTCAAGAAAATTCTACAGTAAACTAATTAGTTGTTTAGGAACCGGTAGAGAAAATAAAAGTAATCGAAAATAAGTAATCTTGTTCAGTTATTAGTTTCTATCTTATCATTATTCTAGTTTCTCGTTATTCACAAAGATTTTCTGCAGATTTTCTGGAATTATTATTGAAAAAACGACATTTGAAGAATTTGTAGAAATCTACGAATAAATTTAAAGAAAATAAGAAAATCAATATAATGATGAAAAAACAAAATAATTGATTCTAGCATTGATTTATTGACAAATTTCTTTTAAAACCTAATTAGTTTACTGTAAAATTATTACTTTATTTTCCGTCGTCATTATTTAATAATTTTAAAAAACCGATTCTTAAAACGTGTCCACCCAAATTCATGATTTTGAACGTCGACTTTGCACTCAAACTCAGTAATTATACATCATGGAAAAGTTTTATATGTCTTAAATGAATCCTAAAGAATTAGTCCACAACACTGCATACTCAGTTTAACTACCTTGCATAGCCGGTCTGTCCCTTTAAAGAACTTTTTCCTACTTTTTAATATTATTTCTCGTAAAAAATAGTTTAAGGATGACACTTAATTCAGACCTTGCAAAAGAAAATCAAAGTTTTTTTAATATAATGCGTCACTTTTGGAGAACTTAACATTTTTGCCACGAAATCCTGCGGCAATAGAGTTATCAAGCTGAAAACTCTATGAATAGAATAGAATCGTCATGGACAACCTTCTTTGTGCTAATTCAATTTTATTAAAAACATTTTGTTTTTAAAGTTTTCGTCTTTTTGAAGCCTTAAAAGGCCATTTACAACATCTGCACAATTTTTTTTTTGAAGTTGTATGTCCTATTTTTGTTGATTTAAAATTAAAAATATCAACTTAAATTTTCAATCTCAGACCCATATCTCTAGGACAGCGCAGAGTTAAAAAGAAAAAAATCCCCAATATTTATATCTTTCCCGCATTTTACAACTCGCGGATTTTCAATAAATTTCAATTTTAATATGTCTCCATAGTTTGGTGGAATTTATTGTCCGTAAACAGGACTGAAGAACATGCATAAAATTCAAATTGGCAATAAGAGGAATATAGAGGAATATAAGAAAAGATTTAACATGGTGCAGGTATGGAAGAAACCGGTTCTTTACAGGGTAATAAACAGAATAGTAAACATAAAGTGGGAAGCTACAGTTTTAGTTGACAAACACAAAACTATCTATCCATTCATCTATCTATAAATCTATCTAGTTCTCTATCTATCTATCCATTCATCTATCTATATATCCATCCTTTTGAACATCCATTCATCTAACCAACTATCTATCTGTTGAACTATTTATCTGTTCAACTATCTATCTGTTCAACTATTTATCTGTTCAACTATCTATCTGTTTAACTATCTGTCTGTTTAACTATCTATCTGTTCAACTATCTATCTGTTCAACTATCTATCTGTTCAACCATCTACCTGTTCATCTATATATCTGTTCAATCATCTAACTATCTATCTGTTCAACTATCTAGCTGTTCAACTATTTATCTGTACAACTATTTATCTGTTCAACTATTTATCTGTTCAACTATTTATCTGTTTAACTATCTATCTGTTTAACTATCTATCTGTTTAACTATCTATCTGTTCAACTATCTATCTGTTCAACCATCTATCTGTTCAAATATTTATCTGTTTATCTATCTGTTTAACTATCTAACTGTTCTACAATTGACCCTTCCCTCCGAATTAAGGGTATAACTAACCCTGTGTGTGGTATAACCATGTTACTAGTATTTATCAGAAATATACTACGTCTACAAGCGATAAAACGAGGAATCCTATCATTCCATCCTATCTATCCATCTATCCAATCTATCTTATCTGTCCTATCTGTCCCTGTCCTATCTAGTCCTGTCCTATCTGTCCCTGTCCTATCTGTCCGTGTCCTATCTGTCCCTGTCCTATCTGTCCCTCTCCTATCTGTCCCTGTCCTATCTGTCCCTGTCCTATCTGTCCCTGTCCTATCTGTCCCTGTCCTCTGTCCCTGTCCTATCTATCTGTCCTATTGTTTGTTACTATGAAATGAGAAGCTAGTTTCTAAAATAACTCTGATGCAAAATAAATAAAGTTTATACTCCCAATATTAAAGATTATATTACTGCCAAGTTTACCAAAGAACCTCATAACTGCACCGTATTTACCACCAATATGAAAGTGTTCTCACTGCAGCCAAAATGAAAGGAAATTGAGAGGAATTTCATTTTTGCCATTAACTCGATGCTGGAAGCATTTAATATTTTAAACTTTGAATTCTAAGTTTCAATGTTCCGCCATCAGTTTGCAAAGATATGGAGATTAGAAACTTAGAGTTGCACAAAAACTCAATTCCTTTCATACTAACGATTTTGGCTATTTTTTTACTTAGAAAAGTAGCAATGTGACATCAGTACTAGACAGAGGGGATGGACAAAATAACAGTCCTGATTACACCGTACGCGGGAAATATTGGAAAAAAAATCCGCCAGACAGTCACAAGAAAGCCAAGGGTCATAAAATATGAAATTGTTAAGCAGGATTCTCCGTTCTCCCAATATTCCTGAAAATTAAAATATCCCCGGGTTTGCAGGGCGCTAAAAGAACATAAAACGCTTCATAAAAACTTGTTATTACACTGAAGGCAGGATGAGGTGCAAGCTAGTGTAAAGGGTGCATACAAAAACATAAATTTTTGCATACAAAATAATTTCACGTTAATAACTTGTTAGTTTATTGTGTATGCTAAAACCGAATGTGTCATGCAAAGGACAAAGAGACAACTTTACGACACGTATATTTATTGACAACTTACTGAGACAAAAATGGTGTAAAATCCCGTCCCAAAAATAACAAAAAAAATTGTTCCCTACCTTCTTTTCCATTTTAAGCTTCTTTTTCTCCTTCTTTCGTTCAGCCGATCCCTCGGACTTTTTTCCCTCGGACTTTTTGGACTCAGACTTTTTGGACTCGGACTTTTTGGGTTCAATGGGTTTCTTAGGTTCCGGGGGTTTCTTGGGTTCAATTTTCTTAAATACTAGTTTATGCCAGGGGTCAGGTAGTTTTCCCATATTTTGTCCAGACCATTTCACAACCTCCTAAAAATATAATTTTTGGAATAATTTTCTTTTTATCAATTCAATTCAATTCAATTCAAGGAGCTAGGGAAGTCCCGTGGGCTCCTCGATCTAGCTGGGGTACGCCATCACGATCCCGTCTAGATCAAGGCTTTTCAGCCTGACATAGTTTAGGCCTAACGTCGGGTATCACGACCAAATTTGAGCCATGAGTCCGGATTAACTCCTTCCGCCAGCGAATTACCAAACAAACTATTTCTAGTATCAATTAAATGCTGGTGGATTGAGTCTCCCTTCCGGGAATACAGGATACGCGCGTTTACTATTATATTATTATATGATCTGATAAGATATGATATTGATAAGATATGATTTAGATGTGACAATAATGTCGATAAGATATGATTTAGATGTGACAATAATGTCGATAAGATTTTGATTTAGATGTGACAATAATGTCGATAAGATTTTGATAACTATCGTTCTACATATACTGCAAGGACGAGAAAGAAAATGGACAATTTTTTTCAATTTTTTCAGAGCACTATTGTGAACCGTTGAAGGAATATAAAAGCCTCGGTTAGGCCTCCGATGACGGGTTAAAAAAAATAAAAAAATAAAATATTTGATTTTAACCAAATGAATTGCTTTTATAATATATATAGTTGATGAAGATAAACTTAAACTTTCATAAATATTAAATTTTCCAATTTAAAGTTTGAAAATTGATTTTCTCGTCCAAGGAATATAAGAGGAACTTTCATAAAATAACGCGTTCTGCAATTTCTGGAAGGAATGTAAACAAAATGCGTGGGAAGCACTGTGTGTGTTTACATTACTCCAAGAAACTTCTGTACACTCGTAAGGAAGTTCATAAAAAGTCTAAATTAATAATTACTTCTTTTAGACTACACTTTATGAAACTTCTTATGCTGTTATATTCAGTGGTAAAAAAATTAATGAACATTAAAAGGCAAGTTTTTTCATCTCTTTTTGATACTTTTTCTCAAAGTTTTGTTAATTTTCCTAAAAATCTTTTATGTTTCCCAATTCAACAAAAAGACAAACAATTAAGAATTATCTATGAAATAAAGTTTTATTTACAATAGAGTTACTGTTTAACACTATTTGACATTGTTCTATAAACGTAAACCTAGGATTTATACTTCCGTTGGAAATGCAACACAATTCTTAGAGAATTCCTCTTATTTAAAGGGACTGTAAATATAATTTCATGTGACTCGCCGTTTACTGAGTGGCATGTCAGATTAACAACGGTACCCTTAAAACCTTTATATAATCAAGAATGAATTAGCTGTCCTTGTTTTTCTCTTACGTAAATTTACTTAAAAAGAATAATTTTTTAATGCTCTTGAAAGCTTGGTGTGATAAGGAATGAATAAGATATCCATGTTTTATACTTTGAAAACTAATTAAGATTGAAGTGGAACATTATAAATCAGACATGCCCCATTTGATTTTTATGGATGGTCAATAGAAAATACAACAACAGTACCTTTATAGGGTTATTCAACATAATGAAGAGATATCAAGTCCCAATACAGGTTTAAATCAATTATAGGAAAATCTGATTTATTCATTTTTAAATTGGATAATCTTATTCTACAAATATGAACAAGAAACGAATTCTTCCGCCTGAAAAATATCGGCAGAAGAATATTTGACATTTTCCGCTATTTAAGTTATAATTAAATAGTAATGTAATGTTTTCAACATAAGATTAAAATCTAATAACAATTTCGCATTTTTTTAAAGCCATTTGAATTTAAATATTCAAAAATATAATGTAAAAAAAAAGAAAATTTGTACTGCAGCAAACCATAAATTCTCTCAACATCACTAGTCTTCAGTGGGGGGAAGTATATTAATTATGTTCGTCTGTCTGATTCAAGCATGAATCCAACGATGAAAACGGTAAAAAATCCGCGAAAACGTTATTGTGTTACGTAGGGAAAAAAAGTTGCAGGTAAATGGAAATTGAAGTAAGAGTCGTTAAGCGTTCTAAAACTTTATTTACATAATTTTCACTCCCTGTATAACTAACGCGAGGTATATAGAAGGTTTAATTTGCCAATTCATGTTTTTGTTAAACTACATTCATCACCATCATGTTGGGAGGAATACCTTCTTGTTGCTTAAGACTACAAATTATGTAAATTTAAATGATCCCCGGGGTCATTATTATTTCCCAGACTCTCCTTTAAAAACGGAATAAATTTTTCTTCCTTTTATAAACTTTTTACCCTAAAAACTTTTTTATATTTTTGCCTAATAATGATTTTTTTCCCCCGGTCCAAGTCAGCGAATAAAACCATAAAAAAAATCTGAGAGAAAAAATGATTTTCAAGTAGGGAGGAAAGATTTTTCAATAAAATATACACCCCTGCTCTCTTTCAAAACATGTAAAGAAGAACTGAGTAAAAAAGGTGTTGAGACAATTCAAGATAAGACATTTCAGGATATTTCATACTTTAACTTTTTTATATATATGTCAAAATTCATATCGTAAGATATTCATATAGTAAGATATAGTAACCTTATAAACTATGAGTGGGGTTAGACTTCATGTAAAATCAAAATATTCCAACTTTTTAAAAAGTAAAAAATTCTTGATAAACAACATTTTGTAAAATGAGTTGTAAATTGGGAGAAAAAATGAACTTTTTGGTACTATTTACCACACTGCTGAAAAAGGACTATCAGGTTTCAAGTCAGAACACCTGAACTATTTCCAGAGTATGTTAACATGCAGTCTACTGAGTTATTATCTCGATTGTCAGGAAATGCCACATAGAGAATTTTCTACAAATCGATTTTTAAGATATCTTATAAATCTAGTGCATTGACAGAGGTATAAAATCAAACGTAAATTTTGTTTAAACACTTTAATATGCTTCTTCTGTTTTTTTGCGACATTTTACTTTAATATGCTTCTTCTGTTTTTTTGCGACATTTTACTTTAATATGCTTCTTCTGTTTTTTTGCGACATTTTACTTTAATATGCTTCTTCTGTTTTTTTTGCGACATTTTACTTTAATATGCTTCTTCTGTTTTTTTGCGACATTTTACTTTAATATGCTTCTTCTGTTTTTTTGCGATATTTTACTTTAATATGCTTCTTCTGTTTTTTTTGCGATATTTTTTGAACTGTTAATGGCAGGGCCTCCAAATTTTGTAACTTTTCATGAACAGCCATAAAACATACTGTAGTAAAAAAACAAGGCCCTAAGTCAACAGCCTGACTAGATACGACCTAAAACAGTCTTTTTGATGTGCTTTTTGAGGATTTCACTTCAAAATTCCAATTTTATGCAGTACAGGAACAGTCAGAGTTCACTTATGGCTTCGATTTTTTTTTGATAAAAATCGTGTCTAATTTGGGGACCCCGCCATTAACAATTAAAAAAATATTGTAAAACAACAGAATCACCTTAAGCAAGTCTAGAAACTTAAGATAGGTTTGTTATCAACCTGAAAATGCACTTGATTTCAACAATATCTTAAAGAATTTGCTCAAAATTCCCTAGATGGCATTTCCTGAAAATTGAGATTATAATTCAGTAGACTGCATATTTTAAAAAAAAGTTCAGGGGTTTGCACAGAATGAAAATCCTTCAATAATTTCCTCCTCGTAGAGGGCTTCTTCCAGCTTATCATTCACCTCCTCCTTCATCACACTGTTCTTCTCCCCTTCCTTAATATCGTCGACCTTCATCTCCTCGTCCTTAATAGCCTCGTTCTTCTTGTCCTCTTCCGTTTTCTTTTCGTCCTTTACTACCATGTTTGTCTCGTCCTGAAAAAATTTAAATTTCAAATCAGGAGTATATAATTAAAATGATTTTTGAAGATCTAGGGAAAATATTAACGATTGCACAATTCACATCCTTATTCTATTTATACTTTTACCCCAAATATTCATTTATTTTCAATAAAATCAGCGAGAAAAAAAATCGTAAAAAATCATGATTTTTAAAAGAGGGGGATTTTCCAAGAAAATATACACCCCTGTTTCAAATTTTGTTAGTTTACATTGAAATTTTACTTGAATATTTAAAGTTAAAAGGAATATGGAGAGAAACACTAACAAGAAAAATTATATTCAAATTTGTCTGTATTTATTAAATCCAATTTTTAAAATTCAAAATTATAAATTGTTAAAAAAAAACAAGTTTGTCAACTAAGGTGCCGACAAAAAAATCCCTAGTCTACAACATTCACAGAGCTAAACAAGTCTTTTTAAAAATTATAAGAAAAATTTCGGCTGACAAGAAACAAACACAAATTATTTTCAATTAATTTATAATTTTAGAAATAAATTAAAAATTTTATTTTCGAATGAAATAATTGGGATTGTGCGGACATTGGAAAAATACCTTAATTAGTAATCCTTGTTTATCATCTTCCTTATCTCCATTTTCCACATTTTCCTCTCCAATTTCCATCTTAACCTCCTCCTCTTCCCCCTTTCCGTTAATTTCCCCTTTTATCCTGTTTCTTCCCTCTTCTTCTTCCTCCTCCTCTTCTTTACTCTCCTTTATCTCCATCTTTACTTCCCCTTTTCCATCCTCATCCTTAAAAAAAATATAATTAATATTTGATTTCATAATTACAGGGAGGTATATTTTCAGAACTTCAAAATGATTCCGGGGGGGGGAATGAAAAGGAAACTTAAACCGTTTTTTTATACGTTTTACCCAAAGTTAAAGAATAATTATTTTTCAAGGAGGTATACATCCCTGCATTTGGAAAAGTATATAAAAATATTATTATTATTAAATAATAACAAAAACGAAAGAGAGGAATCAAGATAAAAAAGACTGAAATATGTTAAAATTACACTGCAAACACTTGATGAAATCATATATATTCACTAATTCTACAGTGATTAATCATTTCGTTTGTCAGCTGTTCGGTAAAATTCTTATCTTTACTTCACAAATAAGCGAAAAAGAAGTATATATTTTAAATAGTTATACCAACATGAAATAATTTTCGAAGAACTTTACCCACCGTAAAAAATTGGACATTTTCCTTCATGGTACGTTTAAAGTTTTTAACAAAAAAAAAATTTCTTTTCTCCTTGAAATCTGTAAATAAATATAGCTTGTCTGTTTGTTTATGTCCAATAAACGCCAAAACGGCTGAACCGATCGGGCCCAAATTTTTTGTGGGACCTTGCGTGACTCTAGGGAAGCTTTATGATATATCATAAGTAAAAATTTGCGTTAAAAAGTTTTTTATTTTAGTAAAATTTTGAAAATGAGCGAAAAAATATTATGAATTACTCAAATTATTTTGCTTTTGCTTCATACTGTACAAAGCGAAGATGCTCACAGATAAAACCACAATTAAAAGCAAAGAGAATAAAATATATCTTAGAGAGGAATTTACTAGAAAAAGTGTAAAATGGCCATTTTGTTGTACTTTTTCCATACTGCACTTCACATATTTGTGCTATCTAGCCTTTTGGGCCCTGAAACATCATTTAAGAGAAAATCTAAAATCAATATTAAAAGAAAACCAAATTGTGAAATAGGCTAGTTTCATAATTGACCAATGATCATTTCACAAAGACTCTATGCCTTTCACTTTACAAACGTTGATTTTCCGTTTTAACTATAAATCAAAATCAAATGATGTTTTTTATTCACCTAATTCATATTATAAAGTTTATTTAAAATCTTTTATTCCTAAATTTTGATTAGGGAATTCGGTAAAACTTTACGAAAATGTTCTCAACTTAGTGTAGTTCTTGGTTGACTTCAGTGTTTAGGATCCATTTCATTTTTTTGCGGATTTGGAGCCAGGTCATGAATATTTTTTTGCTAAAACTTGATGTACAATTCAGAGAAAATTTTCAATAAACTTTCTTTCTCCATCAGTTAAGACTATTGTTTTGAGCAGTGATTAGGACCCGGATCCGTTGGATCCGCAAGATTTTGGTTTCCTGGATCCGAATCCGGATCCAAGGGGTAAAATATCAACCAAAAACTGCGAAAAAAAAAATTTTTACTGCTGAACCCAAATCTGAACTTTTGAAAAAAGAGAGATTATAAAAATTTCCTAATTTCTGAATGGTTTTAGGATAAAAATAAGCTAAGAAAAATAAAACAAAAAATTATTTTTTGTTAAAAAAAATTCAGGAAATCTTAAAGAAATGACCTGGATCCGGATCCATTTTTTTCCAGTGCGGATCTAGGATCAGGATCAAAATTAAATGGATCCTAAGCACTGGTTTTGAGAGTAATTAGATTTTATAGATTTTGGTTGATATTTTGCCCCTTGAATGTTGCAGATACAACTGAACTAGAAACCTTGGCATTGCTCGTCTTTATTTAAGGAAAACTGAAGACTTGGGTCCAAGCTGGGTTCCCAAGCTAGTACATATTATATATCAGGGACCTTAATTTTAATTTCTGTTTTGTCTAGTTCCGGTTCAGGTGAGGAGGCTCGTTCAACCTCCATCTTTGCCTCGATATCTTTTCTAGTTTTTCAACAATTAAATTTAAAATTCCTTCTAAAATTTGTCATGGGATCACATTTATCGGAAGGGGCCGAGCGCCAAGGCTAGAACAGGCAACGGCCGGCCAGGCGCTGCGGCCACATATTCACAATTTCATGAACATTTTTTTCATGAAGGGAGAACGGGCCAGGGGTCCAAAGAGCCTTTTCTTGGAATTTACCACAAGTACAATATTTCTTCATGATGGTGAGTCTGTATTTCAGTAAAATGTAAATTCAATTAAAATTTAAGTACTTTAGAACAGGTTAATATTATTGAAATTCCTTCGTTTCAGCTTCTGGTTTATTTTATCCTGATCCCTCCCGCCAGAAACCGCCATCGCCAAACCCTAGCACAAATAAAACCATCATCGCCGAACAAAATTAGAAAAATATGAATGAAAAGAAATTGCAAAAACATTTGAATGAGTCAATGGCGATTGATGTCGTTTATCTTGCTTTCCTAGATTCATAATTACTCCATCCAAGCTAGGGAGAGAATATGTTTATTTGAGGAATTTTATCACATTATACCTCGCGCCGGTGCCTTTGCAATCTTCAAATTGGTTTTTCACATGTTTAATAACTTGTCGTACATTCACAATCTGAAGGGATGAACGTTCAGACAATTTTTTATAATAGTTTTGTTTAACTTAATAACTGATTTATTTGTAAATATTCACTCGGGGACAACAACATTTATGGGAAAATAACTTTATGCTGTTTTTGTTCTTAGTTGTCCGCCATGACAGTTTAGTGTGCGACACTAGCGATATTTATTCCTCTGGTGGCTTTAGCCTGAAACAATGTTTGGGTCTATTCGGCCGCATAATACTATTCACATGTTCAAGACTTACCAAAAAGAAATTAAAAATATTTTATGCTTTTTTAAGATCGTAAAAACATTTGATGAATACAATAGGAAAAATTGTACCATCATAAATTTTTACATTCCCGATCTGAATCATTAAATGAAATGAATTGTGCGCCCGAAAAGACCAACCTAAAATCCAATTTATTATTATTTGATTTCTTAATGCATGCTAAATCTCAGAATCTGCTAAAAAAAATAATTTCAATTTAAAATGTTTCATGTTGGATTGGGAAGAAGGAGAGATTGAGGGGAAAAAGTCAGGGAAGAAGGGCAGATTGAGAAGAAGGATATGTTTGGAAGATGAAAGAGTTGGAAAGAAGGAAGATTAATGGGATATTAGGAAGAAGGACAGTTTGGGAAGAAAAGGATAGGTTGGAAGAAGGATGGGTTGGGAAGAAGGATGGATTAGAAAGAAGTATAGGTTGGGAAGAAGGATTGGTTGGGAAGAAGGATAGGTCGGAAAGAAGAATGAGTTGGGAAGAAGGATGGGTTGGGAAGAAGGACGGGTTTGGAAGAACTAAGAAGTGTGCCAAATGCCTTACTCCAATAGTTCTTTTAAGTCAGCACCAATCTAGGATTAACCTTCTGTATTCTCAAGTTTATATCAATCGAGAAACAACACTCGCTGCATTTACAAGTTGGTTCCATATCCTGATACAACTCTCTTTATGCTCAAGTAAGTATCATTCAGATACAACTTGCTCTAGAACTCAATATTCTCTAAATACTTCAGTCTGTATCAATCCAGATACAACACGCTCTGTATTCTTTAGTGTTTATTGTTCAGATACTACTCACTCTTAAACTCATTGTTCTCCAATAATACTTTAGTCTGTATCAATTCAGATACAACACTCTCTGTATTCCTAGTATGTATTTTTCAGATACAACTCGCTCTCAGACTCTATGCTCTGTACACGAGGAACACGAGAAATAGTGTTTGTCTAAACGTAATAAACGTAATAAAGCAAAGGTTCCTGTCCATCTGATTTAATTAAGGAATAATCTGAGTTCGTTTCTCTTGTGTTCATTTGACAGACCCAAAAATCGATTTTGATGGTTATTATATCGTTAGAACTGACGAGGCTCAACCCAGACCGAAATATATTCAATAAATGTGGAACTAACATCTACTTTTTTACTCTACAGAGGTTTTGGTCCATCCCCATCACCGAATTTTAAATGATCAAATTATTTTGGGTTTTATGGTACATGTTTTGTTCAGAAATTAAATCGCAGTTAAAGTAATGAACGTAGTTAGGGCACAGATAAAGTTATAACGTAATATATATATATATATATATATACAGGTATTTATAGGTTTACAAAATATGGGGTTTATTACTGTATTTATTACAGAAGAATAGGTTGGGAAGAAGGATAAGTTGGAAAGAAGGTATAGGTTGAGAAGAATTATAGATTGGGAAGAAGGATGGGTAGGGAAGAAGGATGGGTTGGGAAGAGGGATGGGTTGGGAATTGAACCGGATGGGTTGGGAAGAAGGGTGGGTTGGGAAGAAGGGTGGGTTGGGAAGAAGGATGGGTTGGGAAGAAGGATGGGTTGGGAAGAAGGATGGGTTGGGAAGAAGGATGGGTTGGGAAGAAGGATGGGTTAGGAAGAAGGATTTGGGTTGGGAAAACGGATAGGTTAGGAAGAAGGATGGGTTGGGAAGAAGGAAATGGGTTTGGAAAAGGGAAAGGTTGGGAAGAAGTATAGGCTAATATTTTTTTAAAATTTACTTTTCAACATTCCAGCACGATTCATTTTTTCTGTACATCAACAATATTTTACACCAAAACAGTCATAGGATGAATAGCTCTAATGCATCACTAAACTTTCTTGAGGAAGGATCCTTCAGAAAAAGGGAGGGGGGCAGTTCTTTAGTCCGTATCAACAAAGATTAACCAGAAATGGAAACTTTCGCGTTTGGATAACCATAATCCCGATCTGCACATGATCTTGATATCTACAATATGGGCCCATTTGAATTTTACGCAGGATATTTTTTTCTATTGATTTTGAACATACGGAATATTACCATTCTTTCATTGGTTGAACGCAAAATTCCCTGTCTAATGATTGTCTATTCCAAGGATGTAGTGAATTACACCCTTGGTCTATTTAGTATTCCGGGATATCTGACTGGCACTGTACGGGCTATCTAATAAGGATTAAATTAATCTATAGATAAACAAAAGATCAAAATCAAGCTTGATCTCGATAATCACAATTTAAGAGTCTCCAGCTCAGAAAATTATATTAGCAGAGCCGGGAATTTTAGAATTGGCGATATCGAGATCAATGCTTGATCCTCTCTTTATCTTAATCTCGAGACTAACCTAATCTTTTGTTTGTATCCAAAAAAGTGTATAAAATTCAACCAATCAGATTGGCGTATCAGAAGCCGGGAAATTTGAAATTTTTCGCGCCATTTAAAGGAGAATTCTCTCATTTAATCAAGATTAATATGCAGAGACGATCGGAGAATCTCTAATTTTGAAAACCGGTTTTTGATTTTTCTGTACTATATCCAAAAAAGAGTGGATTAAGCAAGAAATTAAAAATCGGCAGCTAAAGGTATCCCATTTTATATTTACCAGCTCAGAGTTGAAAACTTTAGAATGGTGGATAATGGGATTAATGCTTGATCCTCTCTTTTTGATAATCTCAAGATTAACATAATCTTGCAAGATTATCTTATAAGTGTATGAAAAACGATAAAATTCAAATTGATATTTAATCATCTGAGAAACTGTAGCAGCCAATCAGAGAAAAGCGGGCAACCAATGAGAGAACAGAAATATTCTCATTGGAGAAAACAATTAACGGATATCCAAGGAGAGAGAAAAAGAGTGGATTAAGGACAAAAACGAAAAGTTTCCACAGTGGATATTCGGATCAAAAAGTCAGAATTAAAGTTTTTCCATTCTAAAGTTCCCAGCTCTGGACTTACATTTTTGTTAAAATAAAAAGTGCACTGCATTTTCTAAGAAGCTAAATTACACTCGTTTTGAAAACAAAGATATATGAGAGTTCCTTGCCTACGTGGATCATTTAGTACAATTTTATTGGTTTTTAATTAGTATGTATTTTATTGCTCACAATTTCTAACTTTAATATTAAAGAGAGTGTTCGCGAATGAAAGGGGGTTTAGGCTTACGGCGGAAATAAAGCGCTTTTGATCGCTACTAATCTTACTTCTATCTGGAGAAAATTGTTAAAAACGACTCATAAGAACGTAGCGTCCAATAATGTCCATACAAATTCGGAAAGTTGCAACATTCAACTCTGATCGTAAAATAATCAATTTAGTTCCAAAGAAATCATTCAGAAATTACAACCAATAATCATCGATAATTTTTCGAAGCATTTCTATATAGTTGATGTTTCTTTATTTTTCATGATCTGAGAGTTACTTTTGAAATCTTTAATTCCTGTTTCGAGGATTTTTGATAATGAAGACGACATTTTCATATTTTCCAGGAATATTCGAAAATCCAGCGCCAGCGCAATATTATTTTAAAAAACCAAAATCCGAAATATTATGAAACACTAACTTTATAAGAAGAATGCGTCGAAAAATAATCGTTGACTATTAAGTTTGTAATATCTGAATGATTTGTTTGGAACTAAATTAATTATTTTACAATCAGAGTTGAATGTTGCAAATTTCCGAATTTCGGAACACAGTGATTTCCAGAAAGTGAAATCTGGCCATGTATGCAGATATATTAAAATCACCAAAAAGGAATAATTCATCCGGTGTACTGCACTGTACAGTAAATTATAGTCCCGTTTTTCCTTTTACAGTATTTATGTAAAAATGACTTGAAAAATGAATTATGGAGTTTCTCTGATGAACAAAAAAACGTTTTTAAAGACACATGCAGAAATACTTTATTATCAGTAAATTTTTTTAATCTGAAAAAAGCAATATCTAGTTGAGGTTCGTCATTATTGTTCCACCAATAGTCTTCTCTTTCTCTCTGACATCCACGACTGAAACACAATTGTACAATGAGTACCAGAAAACTCTGGAATAGGAAGACGACTTTCAGGCTCAAATTATGACTTAAAAGTCTCATGAACACCAATTGAGCAGTGTAAACAGACCCATTTCACTTAATGATTAAAATACACTTTGTTATTGCTTTATTGTCGTCTTCCTAATCCATCGTTTTCTGGTTCTCACTGGATATAAAAATACTTTCATTCTCTGAAACCTTTATGTTATCAATAATGTGGAAGATCTAATTAACATTCTTTTTTTTATTTTAAGATCATAAACTATAGCTATAGGGGCGCGCTGGGAAACATTCTGTGAACGAACGGCAAAACCTGTAAATTTTTAAATCATTGACGAACGGAAAAAGCCATTAATAAGATAATAAATGTAGCTTATTTTTCAATTTAAAATTGCATGAAACAGTAAATAATTTTTTAAAATGTATTTTAATGTTTTTGATTGCAGATGTCTTCAATTTTTTCCAGCTATTTTTACATTAAATAATCCTTAACTGTTGATTTCTAAAATATATTGAGATGGCTAAAAAACTGAAATATCGTTAAGGAACGGAGCATTCAGTTCTTCGCTAATGAACGAACGGCTAACGGAAAAGCTTGTTTTACCGATTTTAACTTACCCTTATGAAACGGCTTGAAAAAGTTTGAACTTAAGCTCAGCCCTAGCTATGCTAAAACGGCTGGACCAATTTGACGGATTCCATGGGCAATGTCGAGCACTTGAGCTAGTATTGCTCTAATAGAGTCAAGAACAATAGGTGGCAACTTAACAGAGATATGGATCCATTATACACGACGTCACAAGTGTCAAATATAACAAGAAAAACGAAATTATCTCACATATTAGTTGATGCATGTTTTACAAGATTAAATAAAAAAGTGTAAAAACAGAAAATAAAGAACACGTAAAATGCACTTATTATACTGTAAGATCTTTGTTCTAAAATTATCACTATTATTAATATTTTTTAAGACAAAAAAAATAAGTTGACACGTCACGTAAGAATACAGCTGTACTGAGAGTGTACAAATTCTACGTTGCCATCTATTGTTCTAGAATCTATTTGGTTTATTTGGTTTTACCTAAACCAAAACACGGGCACTCAGCAGCGATTGCTCTTCTGTAGGCGGGATGAGAAAATGCATAAACCATTGGATTCAAGATGGAAGACAGCTTCGCTAGATAAGGAAAACATTTATTTAAAGAAAAAAGATATGATAAACAAATCTTTCCCCTCTTATATTCTTCACCTCTTTGATATTTCTCAATTCCCTCACAAAAATACTTTATTCTGTAAAATGATACATGGTTAAATCAAACTGTGGGAATGCCGAAACCCAAACTCAATAGAAAATTCACTTTATTGTATACGCGTAATTTTATTTGTCCCTTGATGCAAAGATGGCAATGTCCGATTCACAATGGTACCCTAGAATCCTTTTTCTAATCAATAATATAGAAGCTATGTCGTTTCTTAAAAGTTAAAAGTATTTATAATTCCGATATGTCTTGCTCCATGGTATAAATGGTATAAATGCGCAAATGAACCACAATTGAAAGTAATCAGTTTTTAAAATAATAAAAATTAATATATAATTCATACTTTTTATTCAAACAAAGAGTTTAAGGGTACCATTGTGAATTGGGCAATGACATCTTTAAATGGAAGATCTCTTGAAAATACGCTCAAGCCCCTTTAAGAGATTACTGTTATCTAGGGCGTAACGGAGATGTTTAAAGTTATGTACAGAGTTATCCACTATGTATGAGACAGAAACGAACACTAGTTCTCCTATTTTTCTTTTATTACATCGGTCCTTGCAGATGAATTTTATCTGTATTTGTTTGCTTTCTCATTTGTTGTTATTTGCACAAATTTGTTAAAGAACGATCTTTGAAATTTTAAGCGACCCTCTATTCAAAGAGGGGCAGGCCTTATTCACAGCGGTACCATTTAAACTTTCAATAATGTGGAAGAAAATCCAGCTTCAAATTTTACTTCTTAAGCTTTTCTCCATTATTACTGAGCAGAAAGCCACAGTCATCTTTAAAGAGAAAATTATCAATTTTCAAAGCAAAACAAACATAGATATATGTATTTAATCTTGATCAGAAAGAGCATGAAAGGGTACCGTCGTGAATCAGCCGCGGACATGCCTCTCGAATTTACGTTTGCAGTCCTTTAAAATGAAAAATATCGAAATGAACAATTAAACCTTAACATTTTAGGATTTTCAATTCTCATGTTTTGTGAGTAACCCTGTATGTTACCAAAGCATGCTGGTAGCTGGGTAGCCAGGGGTGTAACAATCGACATGTCCCCTGAAAAGTATACAGTTATAGTCCCATAAAACTCTAGAATAGGAAGACGACTGTTCGTCTCAATTTATGATTTCAATAGTTTAATACACATGAAACACAGACCCATTTCACTTAGCAAGTTGATTTAAAGTTACTTGTAAAAATATTTGCTTTATAACAATGTCAACTACACTTGCAACGATTGTTTAAATGTCGTCTTCCTCTTCCAAAGATTTCTGTCAAATATGATTTAACTGGATCGTTAAATCTTTTGAAATAAAAAATTCTTTCTTATGAAATAATTATTTTTTTTTACCTAAAAATGGAACCATGGTTGTAATTGCATAAGGAGTCCAGGCAAAGAACCAGATTAACGCACTTGTCATGGAGGCCTGCAAAATAATAAAGTAAGCGGGAATTTTCACGATTTAGTTAACATTTTGATAAATTTCAGGAAAAAATTGATTGACCTTAATAACTTTAGTTTCATCAATATGCTTCTCATCTTCCTGTCCGCCCTGTTCCTGCCCCGCTAGTGATGTAGCCTGCAGATGAGCTGATACAATCACCTGAGAGAACATTTTTATCAAAAACTAGGTACTTCACGCGCAAGAATAACACTTGATCGAAAATCCTACGAGTTGACCGAAAAAAAGTACGCTATAGCAGTTATGGGTATTGGGTACAACTACAAGCTTATAGTTAAGCAAGTTTTAATACAGAGTTTCTCCCTCCTTTTCCCTCCTTTTCCCTCCTTTTCCCTTCTTTTCCCTTCTTTTCCCTCCATTTTCCTCCATTTCCCTCCTTTTCCCTCCTTTTCCCTCCTTTTCCCTCCCTTTCCCTCCTTTACCCTCCTTTTCCCTCCTTTTCCCTCTTTTTCCCTTTTTCTCCTTCCTTTTCCCTTCTTTTCCCTCCTTTTCCCTTCTTCACCTTCCTTTTCTCTTCTACTCCCTCCTTGTTCCTCCTTTTAACTCCTTTTCCCTACTTCTCCGTCCTTCTCTGTCCTTCTCCGTCCTTCTCCGTCCTTCTCCGTCCTTCTCCCTGCTTCTCCCTCCTTCTCCCTTTTTCTCCTTTTTCTAGTATTTATTTCAGCAACGTTTATATTCAGCTGTTTTGACGTTTATCAAACACAAACAGACAAGTCAAATTTGTAAATACAGTGAGAACTAGAATACTCTGGATTGGGAAGACGACTTGTAAAATCAAGTTTTAACTCTAAAAAGTCCTACGAGAATGAGACACAGTAAATGTGCAATATTAACAGACCCATTTTACTTAATTAGTGAATTAACATGTGTCTAGTAAAATTATTTACTTTGAAATAACATTAAATACACTTAATCATTATTTTAATGTCGTGTTCAAGTTCCACAGTTTTATGGTTCTCACAGTATTTACATATTTGCCTATCTGTTGGTGAGTTTGTGTTCAATAAACGACAAATCAGCTAAACCGACCATGCCAAACACTTTTATGGTGACTCAATAGACTTTTGGAAAGCTAATGTGGTTTAGATTTGGAATCAAGATAGGTTAAATTTGATAATTTGTCGGAAATCCGTCAATTTAAACAGAAAAATATGAAAGTTTTGTTTTTATTATTTAAAATGAATAAACGCATCACAGTTTTTGTAGATAGATGCATGGCAACAAAAAACTAAAATATTTAACTAAAGATGGGTGGGAAGTTCACAGTACACCAGCAGTTTATAACAGTCGTAGGTGTATATATTAATATAATAAAGACGACTTTCTATCTTGATTTGGATTTCAACCTAGCTTTCAAACAGCAGACTAACGCTTAACCATGTTTAAACAAAGAGAAATTGCCAATTAACATGGCTTCTCTATGTTTTCTTGTAAACTTGTAATTTGAAAAATTATTTGTCTCAATATTAAACGCCGACCACCGTATAAACGTATCTGATCAATGATATTGATATGGAGAATTACCTTGTAGTAGAAGAAGATGACGAAGATGAGGGGGATGAAGTAGTTGAAGAGGAACGCGTGGACCATGAAGGACATTCGGTTAAAGTCCTTTACAGATATTAATCGTTTTGGACCTTTTTTATTTATGAAACTTTTAAAAGTAGCTTTTGTTGAACTCTGCAATATTTCTTTCCTTAAAGGGACTGTAAAGGGAAAATGAAAGGGGGTATAAACTGAAAGCTAATCACTTTAGCTCTCGATCGCGACCCATGAAAGTTGCATCTGATGTTCCTATCTCGAGAAATTGATATACAGCTGTGTCAAATTTATACGAAAATTAATATATATACAATTTTGTATAAAAGTAGAGGGTTTAAATAAATAAAATTCAGCAAATATGCAACCAATCTAAAATCTATGATATCCCAGAGAAAGCTAATTGTAACTTAGGTTTACTCCAATTCTAATTTTATGTTTGTTATTTCTATTTTTAATAGATTTAATTCATAATATTATTTATACTTCCGTGTTACTTGACCAGAAGTTCCACCAATGGCAGTGCAGTAAAGTGGTCACGTGATACAGGCGGAGACACGTGACCAGTATACTGCTCTGTTATTGGTGATAGTTCTGGTCACGTGATTTAAGTTTAAGATTTTCTAAATTTTACATATATGAACTTTCGTTTAATTTTAACACAGTTTTATATCAATTTCTCGAGACAGGAACATCAGATAAAACTTTCATGGGTCGCGATCAAGAGCTAAAGTGATTAGCTTTCAGCCTATACCCCCTTTCATTTTTCCTTTACAGTCCCTTTAAATAAAAAATAAACGATTGATAACGATCGTTACATCGCGTTCGTTTCTGCATCGTTTTTAAATCGTTTTTGGGTCGTTATTGCATATATATCTCTGAACCCAAAACGTTTGAATAATTAAGGTTGCGAAATTAAGGAATGATGAACTTTTAAATAGATATTTTATATCATCTAAAATTATGGAAATCCCCGATGTTCCAAAGTAACTGAGTTCTTGTTGTCGCAAACTCTGATTTTATAATCTCTAGATCTTTACAGATCTGAGTAAACTTTTGAGGTTTTAAACTTTGAATATTGTTAGATTAAACAATCTAAGTTTGAAATATCAAAGGTTTATACAATCAAATTGGAATGACATAGAGTTTATAAATTTTGAGTTGGTGGCAAAAATTTAGTTTCTTGAAAAAAATATGAATTTTTTTTTCAAACCATTCTGTTGAACTTTAAAAAAAAAATCTTACTCTTGCAATATAATCGTAGCTGCAAGTATTAAGCAGTCCCTCTGCTTTATAAGCTCCCCAGCCAAAGAAAGGAGGAACCGAGACTGCTATTGAGTAAACCCAACACAACAAAACATTTAAAAATGCCTGAAATAAATATATACTACAGTGGTCAACTTATTTTTATATACAGGGTGTCCCAGGAAACATGATAGTAGCAAGACGACTTGAAAGTCGTCTTAGATTTGGAAAATTATTAGTGACATTCAATCTTCAACCTGATTTAACATGCTTAATGTTCTTGAAACAACAATCGCAAAGTTATCCTAGTCCTGGCATTTACAAAATGTGGTCTGCTTTTTATTTTGTGCATTTTGGCTTTAATTTATGTTACGAGAGGCAAATATTTCTACAGAAACCCGGCCAATTATTAAAATATTCAGTAATCTTCTTTCTAGAAGAAAAATGTACGTGAACCAGAATTATCGCAGTAAGAAATCTAACTTAATCTAAAAACTTCATGGTTTACGTCTTATACAAAATCTATCAACTTTGATTTTCGAATCAATATATAATTTTTATCTATTTCATGCATTTTGTAAACAGAACAGTTCCGGGTTACCTGAAGATATTAAGAATTTTGTCCAGATTTAAATTTTTTTTAAATAAACCTAAAATTTCGAAATCTAGACAAAATTCTTAATATCTCGGATAATATTTAAAGTACAAAAAAGGCAGACCACATTTTGGACTATTTTGCGATTATTATCTCTAGAATTTTACATCTAAAATTAGGTTGATAAATAAATGCAATAAAATTTATCAAAAACGACATTCAAGTCGTCTTTCGAATGTCTTGTTTCTTGAAACACCCTGTATCAATAGGATATCGGTTTCTAAAATGGTGATGTAATATAATACAATTTTAGAGCCTGATAATTCATTGGTATAAACATGCACCAAACACTCTGTATTATGTAGTTATAGTTCAGTATCGGATATCAATTTGTTTTGAAATATACAGGGTGTCCCACGAAGCATGAGAGTTGATGAAGAATTTTAAATGTCGTCTTCCATATGCTGTATTATATATCAAACACTTTTTGCAGTTTATTTCGTTAAAAAAACCTTTCACTTAAATATATATTACCTTGAAATCAATTTTATCATAATTGGACTGCCATATAATATTTTTTTATACTTTTTGGTCTCAAATTATAGAAGAAGACAAATTGAACAAATTATAGAAGAAGACATTTTAAACTATTTACCAACTATAATGTTTCGTGGGACACCCTGTATGTCGCCTCTTTGTAACCTCATTTTAGTGATCGTTTATCAATAATATAATAGAAATCGTTAAGTTAGAAATTATTCACTTAAATTTTCCGTTCTTTTTTTTTGTTCGTTTTTAAATAACGATAATAACGATAATTTTCCATTTATCTGGACGATCCATTTCGTTCTTCCATTGTTCGTTTTTCTGAATGAACCCTTTTCCACGAAAGATTTCGTTCGTTCTCAAAAATTTCGTTCGTTCTCAAAAATTTCGTTCGTTCTTCAAAACGATGCCCATATCTACTGTTAGGTATGACCACCACGGGATAAAGAAGAAAAATTAAATTTATCCGAAGTGTTGCATAAGATGAGAAGATGGAGATCAATGCTTCCGCAATTCACAACAAAAAATCATGGCTTCGATAATCTAATCCAATAAGACTTTATGAAACGATAAAATTTACAGGTCAAAATTATTATTTGAAATTTAGTTTACAATGGCTTTAAACTTCTAAACAATACCCATACAATACCTGGCTAAAAGTCAGTCTCTTGGCTGTGCAACCTTTTGTAACAACCCTGTATCGGTCATAGGCTGAAAAATAGTCAAAATAATAATAATATTTTGTATAAAAAGTCAGAAAAATAAATAATTTTAAACCTTTAAACATATGATAAGGTAACTTTTGTTAAAGTGAGTAAAAAAAGCTAAAAATGAGAAATGGTTAAAATGATAATAATTTTTGTAATAAAAAGTCAGAAAAATAACTCTAAATTTAAACTAATAAAAGATAAAATTAAGTTACTTTTGTAACACTAGGTAAAAAAAAATAAAAAGTAATATCAACCTATTGTTTTTTTTAATCTTAATTCATACGTAATCTGACTGTGTATTTTTATAATTTTGAAAACTGATTACTGACGATTGTGGTTTCTGTACAAGGTGAAGTGAGTTGCATTTCTATTGCACGAAAACATAGAAATTATCAGAATTGGCCACTTTGAAGCAAAGAAAAGGGACAGATCTTCCAAATTATTGATCAGATAACGCCGCTTACATTCCCTTTAGGCAATAAATTTAGAATTAGACTTTTTGATACATTTTCGTTTATTCTGATTTCAAGTTACCTATAACTGCTACAATAAGCATAGAAGTTGTTCCAAAAATTGCCCCAGCACAGGCATATAATCGACAACCTTGAACAAAGGAATTGAGTTTTTGCCACTAACTAAAATTTTGCAACCTGAAAATGTAAACCTTTGATATTTCAAACTCTTAGATTATTTGATTTAATCAAATCCATAGCTTGAAATATCTAGGGTTGTTAAGATATAGCGATTAGAAAATCAGAGTTTGTGACAAAGACTCAATTCCTTTTCTACTCAATCAAAATTTTTCTATCAATTGGCATTCATATACGCAAATTCTTTTCATGAATCGTTCTGAAAATTTTATTTTTAACGTTTTACAAGGAAAAGTATCATCTTTAAACTGATAATTGAAGTTTTTTAATAAATTTTCGCAGATTATTTATCTTAAATTGGTGCAGTTTCAAAATTTATAAAATACGATTTTTTTCCAGGCAACATTTTATAACTTTCCGTAAACCTATACTGGGGTCATGTGAGTTGTCTCAACCACGGTGAGCTTGATCGGTTCAGCCGTATCAACGTTTATTTGAAAGAAACAAACAGAGGAAAATATATTTATAGATACCTAGAACTCCGTACATCCAATACCGTTGAACAAATATATTCACGATCACGGGAAGACACTGAAAAAATAAAAATAAATAAATAAATAAATTTAGATTGAAGAACTCGTCAGAACAAGGGAAATGTTCTTAATTTGAGTGGGTTGTAGGAAAAATTAGTTTTCAGGCGAAGCTGGGCTCTCAAACAGTTTAGTTATAAAATCAATTTTTTAAAACATTTTGATATTTTAGAACAAGTCTCAATTTAAAGTATAATGCTTCCTTTTGTATATTTATAATTGAAAGTCTCAATTTTAAGTATTTGAAACAAAGGATATTTTGTGTCATAAATATGATAAAGTACAAAAAAGATCCATTCACCAAAAATGTGAAATTTTTACCTCAAAAAACATAAATCCTAGATCAGAGCACGCCAGGCTAAAGAAATAAAGATTTTGTGGAGCCCTCACCTCCTTATTCTGAAACAATATTTAATATTAAATATTAAAGATTTATTTTTAAATTCTAAATTTAACAATATTCTATAAATAATTATATAATAACATGGATGCAAATATTTTGATATTTCTTGTTCTCCATTTTCTTCTTGTTCGTACATATTTCATCATATTTCGGCTAATTTTTAAACAACTTAAATCTAAATTATTGTATTTTTTTCGTACCCATATAACTGTGGAATAGAAAGACGACTGTCAGACTTAAAGGGAGTGACCGGCTATGTAAGGTAGTTGAACTGAGTATGCAGTACTGTGGAAAACTTCTTTCGGATTCATTTTGAGACATATTAAACTTTTTAAAGATTTGTAAATCCCGAGTTTGAGCGCAAATTCGACGTTCAAAACCCCTACTTTGGATAAAACATGAAAGCAAATAGAAAATGTCAATTAAATAGAAAAAAGCCTATTTTAAGTCAGAACGTAAAAAAGGAAAGTCGTCTTTTTTGTAATAAAAAACTTCTTCTTTGTATTAATAGTCGTCTTCTTTGTATTGGAAAGTCGTCTTCTTTGTAAATAGCCCTGTTCTTATTCCACAACTTAATGGGCCTAACTGTAAATGGCAAATTGCATAAAAAATATACCTATATTGTGAGCTTCCTACGATAGGGTCACGGTTTTTTTTATATACCTCAATTTCGAGAATGGCCGACCACATTTTAGAAATTTCAAGAAGGACAGTTTCCATTGTTCCAAATCAATTTGAACTTTTTAGATTTTTGATGTTTAAATAGCTAGTATTTATAGTGTGGTTTTATTACAATTAAATCAAAAAATCCAACTCTAATATTTTATTCCCTATTTTATATCTTTAGCTTAAAGATATAAACTTTAGATATTTCAAACTTTGATTAGACATATATTTAGAAGAAATAACAATTTGAAAATATACAGGGTCAAGAAGATTTTTAATTAAGAAAAAATGGTTATTTTGGTGAAGAAAATGCGGAGAAAATGACTTTAAAAAAGTATTTTTTACCTTTAAAAAAACATAAACGACAGTAATGTGCCCTGGTAGACTGATAAGAAAGAGTAAAGCGTAGATTATCCCCAGACCATGGGAATACAAGGGATTCTAAACAAACAGATTATACCCAGATCATGGGAATACAAGGAATTCTAGACAAACAAATTATACCCAGACCATGGGAGTACAAGGGATTCCAAACAAACAGATTATACCCAGACCATGGGAAAACAAGGGATTCTAAACAAACAGATTAAACCCAGACCATGGAATTACAAGGGATTCTAAACAAACAGATTATACCCAGACCATGGGAATACAAGGGATTCTAGACAAACAGATTATACCCAGACCATGGGAGTACAAGGGATTCTAAACAAACAGATTATACCCAGACCAATACAAGGGATTCTAAACAAACAGATTAAACCCAGACCATGGGAATACAAGGGATTCTAAACAAACAGATTAAACCCAGACCATGGGAATACAAGGGATTCTAAACAAACAGATTATACCCAGACCATGGGAATACAAGGGAACCTAAACAAACAGAGAACACATCGCAAGGCTCCAATATTTCCTACATAAAATGGGGAAATTGGCTCCAATATTTATTACCGGAGATTTGAGTTGGCTCCAATATATCTAACCTAGGAGGGGGACTTGGCTCCAATATATCTAACCTAAGAGGGGGGACTTGGCTCCAATATATCTAACCTAGGAGGGGGACTTGGCTCCAATATATCTAACCTAGGAGGGGGACTTGGCTCCAATATATCTAACCTAGGAGGGGGGACTTGGCTTCAATATATTTAACCTAGGAGGAGGACTTGGCTCCAAAATATCTAACCTAGGAGGAGGACTTGGCTCCAAAATATCTAACCTAGGAAGGGGGACTTGGCTCCAATATATCTAACCTAGGAGGGGGGACTTGGCTCCATATATTTCTAACCTGAGGGGGGAATTGGCTCCAATGAGGATCAATTATTTCTCTCATCAACTCCTCTGGAATACCATCTGTATGTGATGCACCTGATTAGGAAAAGTATTAAAAATACAAGCAGTATGCTAATCTATTGAAAAAAGAACAAACTTGCCGATTTTATCGATTAAAGATGTTTCTGACCCACTGAAATAATCATATCATTGGTTTCCAGAAAAATTGGGTTCTTTTTGAAGGAAAGCTGAAATTTATCTGTCAATGCTGGGTTCCTAAACTAGTCTTCTAGTCTAGCTAGCTAGTCTAGTTTTTATTATATATTACATATTTATGATATTATTATTATAAAATTATTATTATTATTATTATGAAATCATAATATAACTCTATACCTGGAGGATAGTAAAGATTATAATTTTCATCCAGGTAAATGCCTTCTTTCAAGGGCCAGCTCATTTCTAATTCTTCAATATAATATTTACAAATTATCCACAAATAAAACATAAATTGTTTTGCCAAATAAGAGACTGTAGGCGTATTTTCAAATAACCCTCTATTTACACAGGGGCAGTCCGGATCCACAACTAGGTACTCTTTAAACATACAATTTCAAAGGTACCCTTTAAACATACAATTTCAAAGGTACCCTTTAAACATACAATTTCAAAGGTACTCTTTAAACAGTACTCTTTAAACAGCACAATTTCAAAGGTACTCTTAAAACATACAATTTCAAAGGTACTCTTAAAACATACAATTTTAAAGGTACCCTTTAAACAGTACTCTTTAAACATACAATTTTAAAGGTACCCTTTAAACATACAATTTCAAAGGTACTCTTTAAACATACAATTTCAAAGGTACGCTTTAAACATACAATTTCAAAGGTACTCTTTAAACATACAATTTCAAAGGTACTCTTTAAACATATAATTTCAAAGGTACTCTTTAAACATACAATTTCAAAGGTACTCTTTAAACAGCATACAATTTCAGAGGTACCCTTTAAACAGCATACAATTTCAGAGGTACCCTTTAAACATACAATTTTAAAGGTATACAATATTAAAGGTTAATATAGAAAGATTAACAGGTTAATTGTTAAAAGAAATCAAGAAACAAGGCGAAAGGAATGTAACCGTAATTTCAAGGGATCTTTCATTTATGGATGGTTGCATTTCCTATTCAGAACTCTAACCGTAAAAGCCTTGTCTAATAAAGAATGAATTATTATAAATTGTGAATTTCTGCAAAAATGGCTTGCGCATTTCTGCAACAGGAAAACAATGCAGAAATGATTATAATTGAACACTGTAAATAGAGGGTCCCTTTAATTTAAAGGGATTTAAGCCAAACTGAGAAAAAAATATTGAATCCTATCATTAAAATATTATTTGGTGTACACTGCACACTGTGATGTACAGTCAAAACTGAGAAAAAAATATTGAATCCTATCATTAAAATATTATTTGGTGCACACTGCACACTGTGATGTACAGTCAAAACTGAGAAAATAATATTGAATCCTTTCATTAAAATATTATTTGGTGTACACTGCACACTATGATGTACAGTCAAAACTGAGAAAATAATATTGAATCCTATCATTAAAATATTATTTGGTGCACACTGCACACTGTGATGTATAGTCAAAACGCTGAAATATGAAGGGGACTCTTAAGGAATCAAGTTTAAAAAGTACAATGAGCATTAGACACAACAAAAGTGAATAATGAAAATATAATGTCGTCTTCCTATTTCATTGTTTTCTGGTTATTTCTGTATTTTAACTTGTTTTTTCTCACCAAGAAAAAAAAACTCTTTAATACGTTGTGTCAAATTGAAAGCGTTATACAAGTGATGTCATGTATTTTGTGCAGTATTGTTATGTTAGTATTATTTCTAAAAATATTTTTGATATATAATTTGAACTTATCTTCTTGTTAAATCAACAAGATCTTCGGAAGAAAACCCCGGAAATAGGGGTTTAGCACAGTGCTAAAATAACTTACATTACGTTGAATCAGAAAGAGAGAGATGGTAAATTTTAAGCGACATTATTGGTACAACTTTGCGACCTCGAAGCTAGTTTTTTTGTGAAAACTTATGCATGACAGAGGCAAGTTTATCCGTTGAATAGCAAAATTTTAAATATTTTAGTTTTTCTCAATTTATAAGATAATAATGTTTAAAGGTGTTTACACTGTCATTTGGAAATTTGGAATGCGTGGTTCCTTGCGCGCAGGACATCTTTATAATACATACATACAGGGTGTCTCACATCATATTAGATCGATTACAGCTATAAATTCAGATATGAGGGACTAATCAGAAATTAAAAAAAAATGTATAAGGCTAATGTAAATTATGTTTTGCAGATCACAACAGGTTTTTCGAGTATTATGTACGTATATTAGCGCTAAAGCTTGGAGAGATAATCCAATATTATATGGGACGCTCTCTGTATGTAAACTCTGAATTTAAACCTACTGCATTCCTAGTTCTTCTTTTACTTAACGAATTGTGATATTTCAGAGAAAAATCACTTTTAAGTGCGCGACCAGGGGGATATTTAAAAAACAATTAGCAGGGGGGGGGGGGGATACAATATATTTTGATAATTCATAATAAAGATTGAAACTACAAGCATTTGCTTTCTAATCCTTGTTTAAAATTCTAAATTATTTTTAAAAATTATATTTTTTTACATGTTATAACTGAAAGATTGTTGGCATGAGAATTGCGGATTTGTAAAATAGAGTTTTTAAAAACTATTTTTACAGGTTTTAAGATAATTTTCTTTAGTATTGTTTATATCAGATAAAGAAGCCCGTCATGTGTATATTGTAATCTCATGCCATGAAGAAGCTCTGCATAAAAAATAAGAACAATTGTGTATTATTGTGTAATGAAATATTTAAGATATGGAGAAAAATACATCGTTAAATGGTTAAATTATGATTGAAAGGGTGAAACCATTTGGAACTTTTTTTGTTAAAAATGCTCTAATCCACCTTCTACCAGACCATTAGTTTTTGATTTGAGAATTAATTCTTTTTTCAATTTTACGGAGTTTTGCTTGTTGAGTAAATGAATTTAGAAACGTTAATATCGTAAAAACATCTTGATAAGTTATTATGCCTAAAACGAATCTTTGGAAAATATTGAAACAAAACATTTATAAAAATCAGCTTTTAAAAACCCGAATCAAAATGCTTTGAACATCTTTTTTTGATCAAATGTGAAATGATTTTCTATTTATTTTTCTTTTATGAATATTGCTTCTTATTTGCTACTGTGAACAGGATTCTATATTTTCGATGAAACAGTTTCACCCTTAATGCAGGGGAAATTAGTTCCAAAACTAACACATGGCCCATTTCTAACACCGAGTGTAAGAAATGGGCCAAATCTGCAAAGTAATCTTTTTCAAGAATATACATCTTTAAATCCAAGACGAGTAGAACAAAATTACACCATGTATTTATAAAAAATGGCTACAACTATATATTGAAACAATAAAATGTCAATTTTAAACTAAAAATAAGGTGTGAGAATAAGTTTTTGATGATTCTTGATTTCATTTTCGAACATTTCAGCTTATGTCGCGTTTTCGGAGCATATCCTGGTTTTGGGACAATTACCTGATTTCATATCAATGCCAATTTTTAAGTATTTACGCACTTATGAAACAAAACAAGATTTTTTGACAAGGTAAAATATAATCAAAATAGAAAATAAAAAACAAACAGTTCTTTTATAATTTATATATCTTTACAGCATTGAGAAATCAAAATATTAATATCATTTGTCCTTACAATATTGATTGAACTGCGGTAAACTGTTTGTTTAAATGCTTGAAAATAAATCATCGATATTCTCTAATTTAACAGATAAAATGTGGAAACTTAGATTCTAGAAATAATTCAAAAGTTAATTTATTCTTCAAAAGATAATTTTTACTTTCAGTCATTTATTTTGTAAGTTATGAAAGTGAGCTTTGTTCTGAAAAGTGGATTATACTCAAAACAGGAAAGTATGTTTTGTCTCGAAAATGCGACAATGTTTCAAATTCAGGATATGTTCGAAAATGGAAATACTGACATAATCAGAACTCATATTATAACTTAGATTTTAAAAAAGTTTAAAATTGGGAATTTTTGTTCTCGTCATGTTTAATAAAATGTTGGTTATAGTTTTTATTTTCTTTTACTCTGGATATGGGCAAGGATCCCAAAAACCCAGTCTTCAAATTTGTGCCCATTTCTAACTTTCAGTGTTAGAAATGGGCCAAGCGTTAGTTTTGGAACTACCCCTGTAATGTTAGAGGAAATTCTGTCTTGATCGTTTTCTAGCCCAGTATTATGATTTCTTACCGTTAACAATTACATCATCTATGTACATAAAGTTGTAATCTCTGTATGCTTGTTTGTCCAATCATAACTCAGGAACCCCTGGACTGATTTGCCTCAAGTCGTGGTTGGGGATTTTGGTAGATCCACCGGAATGGTATTAGCTTGGTTTTGAGATTCTAAGTTTAGTGGATCGACTTTGAGAGAAAATTTAGTTTCCAGGTAAAACCGTTCAAGTGCGGGTAAACGAAGGCTGTAACTTTTAATAACCTGGGCACGGGCAGCGCTGGGTTCCCAAACTAGTTAAAAAATATAACTATTGAAATAATTTTATTCAATACCTCTTTACTTTACAATCTAATGTTAGTAGAGAAGATTTACTAGTCATTGTTTCTTAATCAGTTATCACAATAAAATTTATAAATTGTCATCATACAAATATCAGGGTTGTATATTTTCTGCCTCACTCCACAATAAATCTTAATATTTATTTAACAAGGATAATGAAAATAGAAAATATAAACCCTGTCTCTAACAGTTACCAAAACCAAAGCACTTCAAAACAATCATGCTGTCCTTTATTATTTATTTGTTAAGAAAATTTAATCCCACTGGACCCCTTATATTGAATCCTATCATTAAAATATTATTTGGTGCACACTGCACACTGTGATGTACAGTCAAAACTGAGAAAATAATATTGAATCCTATCATTAAAATATTATTTGGTGCACACTACACACTGTGATGTACAGTCATAGTAGTCACGCCCCTTTTTATGCTTAGGTCAAAAGAAAAGTTCTAAGAAATTAAACTACTAAAAAACAAAAGCTAAATTTGAACAGGGTTTGGAAAAATGTTAGATAACAGTTTAAAGACGAGTAAGAAAAATATACTTTTACTAATACTTTTTACAAGACAGTGATGTAAAGTGTTCAGTGCACAGCAGATAAATAAATGTATATCGTTGAAAGTTATAAAAACGTAAAAATATCTCCAAATCTGTCTCTACGCTAGACTCAGTCCTGACTTTGAGATGTTCGGTTGAAGGTTGAATTATTCTTACTCCTAAAATAGTTAACATTAAAATCAAAAATAAAACTTTCAGGGACATCCTATTTTTGTTAAAATTATATCATCTATCAATAAAATTATTTTACCCACCAGATGCAAATATCCAATTTTTGGGTGTCAGTATCCAANATGTTGATATTACTTAAAAAGAATATTTTACTTAAATTTCTTGAAAATGAATATCCCTAAAATTATTTAAATATGTGTGCTGACCTGACCGACAGGCGAGGAGACACAGGTAGGGTGAGAGGTCGGTCAGAGGGCCGGATCTCCACAGGTTTATATCCTGAACAATTTAATAAAATACTACAAGAGTTAATTCTATACTAGCTGAAGCCCGGCGTAACCAGTGAAATTTAAGAGATACTTTTATTTCATTTTTTAAAAGCTTGAATTTTTTAGCCTACTCAAGGGTTCCCTCAAAAAGTTCAGCCAATTTGGTTCAGCCGCTTGGCCAGCTAAAGCCAACATATATTAATATATACATACAAACAAAATCAGCTGGACCAAATTGGCTAATATTTTTTGAGGGAACCAACAGGTCCTCTGGGGGAAACATAGGGAGGGAAAAATTTGATTTTAAAAATTCCACAGGCAACGCCGAGCAATTCAACTAGTTTATAATCTAGAAATTTTTTTTAGGAAAATAAATTAAACAAACAAAGTATTCTGCTATATTTTTTTCCTATTAATATTTTCTTTATATGTTCAAAAAATCCCTTTTTAACGTGCACAAAGTTTATAAATAAGTGTTCAAAACTATTTTTTAATGCAAAAAAATCTCTTTAGAGCATAATATCTTTTAACGTGTATCAAAATCACGCTTAAAATATAAAAATCTAGTATAAATGATAAACTCTCAAGTCTCTACCTCGGATGGGCTGAGCTTTGTGAACAGCCTGTTTTCTAAGTCGGGCAATCTAAATAAAAAAATGAGTTAATTTTAACTTTCATCTGCCAGACGTCAAAGTTATCAGCTAACATACGGTGGTAGACGGATTGAACACGACTTTCGATTACAATTTTTAAACAGTATGGATACACAATAAATGGAAACAAATAGAAGCAGTCAGCTAAAAAGGCTTCTCTTTATATACTTTTTAAACTCGACATTAGGTTTAGCATCGAAAAGGAAAAATCCATTTATTCACTCCCGAAAAATGCAAAAATTTTCGCTTCGCAATCTGTTCCGCGAAAAATGCGAAAGTTTCGCGAAAAAATATAATGCGAAAATTTCGGGAAAATATTAATGCGAAGATTTCGCATAAAAAAACAATGCAAAATAAAGCGAAAATTGATTGGTCCATTTAAAAGATTCTTTCCAGTAGTTGGCTGGCTCATTGTCATGGGTGAACGTATGTGGACGGACAGAAACTTAAAATGATAGTTAGAGAAATCAAATTCTCTTCATGCATTTATTTATTTAAAGGAAGAGAAATTATTAATATGACATAATAAAACTTCAAATATTGAGCTATCAGAACAGAAAATTCCACAAGTTTTTTATCGCCATTAGTTGTTGCAGCTCTTATATTTTTCGCGGAATTTTTCCCCCGAAAATATTTCACATAAAAAATCACCGCCACCCAGATCTGTTTTGCGGCAAGCGCGCTCCTCAATTGGTAATCTCCACCACCTCAATTAGTAATCACCGTAAAATTTTGTTTTCTGTGATTTGAATTTAATGCACTTTTAATACAATTTTCGACATCTAAAAGATATTTTCATGAAACCTTTACAGTGTTCAGATTTTTTTTTTGTATTCGCCTACTCGAGTTCAACATCTACAACAAAACTAATTATATGCATAGAAAGAACATAAAATTCTGAAAAATAAGTCTCATCACACCCACTACTGAAAATGAAGTATTTAGTCCACTAATAATGGGTTAAAGTTTCCTCTCTATGTAAGGAGTTTAAAACAACATTCAGAGGAAAATGCCGCAAACATTCTTAAAGCGAAACTTGAAACTAAAAAACGTAATATATTTCTAGCACTTAGTGTTGTGCTAGTAGGTCGGATGTGTTGTATAGCGGATTTGGCGTAGGTCAGAAGTGGAGTAAAGCGGATATGTGTAGGTCGAAAAATACACCACCTTTTTGGGCTGATTACTATTTGAGGTGGTGGAGCTTACCAATTGAGGAGCGCGCTTGCCGCAAAACAGATTTGGGTGGCGGTGATTACTATTTGAGGAACTCTGGACTCCCTCCCTCGTTTAAAGCCTGTCATCATTCATAATTAAGGAAATTCCCTTAAAACAGGCTAACAATAGGAAAAAGGTAATATACCAAAATTTTCTATGTTGATATTACTTAAAAATGTACGAGCTAGACAAACTGACAGATAAGCCACAAGAAAGGTTAAACTATTAAGAGAGAGCCTAATTTATTCTTTTGATTTATAGTTTATTTCGACTTTCTAAAAGGTGTTCCATTAACGCTGACAATTTCTAGGTCATAGTTATAGACACACATGTTGGTTACATTTATTTTATGAAAGTTTTGTTTTATAACTTGATTCCCTTATTTTTCTTTGCACAGGTGTTTAAATTTTATGTTTAGAAAAGTATTTCAGCCGCGCTGACTTTGAAGAGTTACAACTCATTAACGAAAAAATGTATTGACAAATTTTCTGAACAATGTAGCTCTTGACCTTGGCTATCTTCCTGCAAAATTAGTTTTAGCTGACCCGCCTACCCAAAGAATGGTGCGCACGTGAAGGGTTTTATCAAAATACTGGTGTATGGGAAAACTTTTGGATTTTTTTCTGTAATAAATGTTGCAGATTTTATATAGCCAAACGTTCATATTACAGTTGCCCAAATCTTTTTACAGATTGTAAAAATTCTTAAAAGTGACTGAAAAATATCTGCATACAAATTGTCATAATTTATGGGTCACCCTGTTGTTATTTAAATTTTATCTCTTCAATTTCCCACCTCTTCTTCCTCTTCTCGTTTCTTCCTCTCCTCTCTGTTCCTCTTCGCCTCCTCTAGATCAACTTCTTTCTTTTTTTTCTCCATTTCAAACTGTCCCCTCTCCTCAGCTCTCCTGAGAAAAGCACGAAATTCTGATGAAAAATAATATTTTTTTCCAGCAAAAGGTTTATAATTTTTATACTTATCATTTTAATTTTAATGAATAAAACTTCCTGAAGGGAGGGGACCAAACCTGGACACCCCCCCCCCCTGATGAAAAATAATATTTTTTTCCAGCAAAAGGTTTATAATTTTTATACTTATCATTTTAATTTTAATGAATAAAACTTCCTGAAGGGAGGGGACCAAACCTGGACACCCCCCCCCCTCCATGCATGAATGAAAAAAATACCTAAATCTAAAATAAAAAAAATGATAAAAATTAAATATATTTCTTAAAATTGCAAAGATGAAAGATGAAAAATGAATAAAACCGTCTAAAAATCTGTGTAAATGTACATTATACATAAAACTTATGAAAATTAATAAAATGTATGAATTTAGTACCTATCTGTATGCAGAGTAAAATTTGAGATCTCTGCTAAAGGTTTCTCCGACGGTTTAGGAACAAACGGGGCCTTACTTAACACCTAAACAATATGTAAGCTTAATTTTTAGATTTTTTAACATTCCGGATTTTAAAAAATCTGCTGTAAAAGGCGATCAAATTATTTGTATGGTTAGGTTCACAATGTTAGCCTTTAAACCTTTGTCTGATCAAGGATAAATAAGATATCTATTTTCATTTAATTTTTTGCTTCGAAGAGTCTACCCAAAAATCTGCTTTAAAGGGACTGTAAGCTTAATTTTAAGTGACCCTCCATGCAAAGATGCCAAAGTCTGATTCACAACGGTACCCTTAAAGCTTTCTTTATGATGAAAATATTTTCGTTTTTTTTTTCTAGTGTTTTAATGGTTTTCAAAATTATTAACATTGATATCTATTATAATTCAGACAAAGCTTTTAAGGGTACCGTTGTGAATTGGGCATTGCCATTATTGCATTGAGTCGAATGTTCGGTTTAAATAGTACCCTCTAAGCCTTTGTCTAATAAAGAATAATTAAGGTATCTTTTTAAACAGAGGAGGCTTAAGCATCTTTTTAATCTCCTAAACATTTCAGATATTTTTGGCTTTATAGAAGATATGATAAGGCCCCCAAAATAAAACAAATGGCATGTAAGATTCACATGGGCAAAATATAGCTTCATTAAAATTACCTTTGCCTCGGTAGCTTTGAAATTACAAGCAGCTCTCTGAGTTTCCAGTTCCTAAAGAAAACAGTATTCATCTTGAACTCTCCCTTTACTAAAGGAGAAAGGTATGATGTGCGAGGAGGGGAAAGTTAATTCCAAGATTGTATAATAAGGTTAGATACGCTGGATGTAGGTAAAGACGACCATTGTAGCAACACTCTAAATCCTCATATGACGTCACTACTTATTTTAAAGAACAAAAAATTTTGCTGCTTACTAAATATAAACGAACTCAATAATTAAAAAGTTGAATTATAATTGCATTCTTTAGCTCCAAACTAGTTGGCACAATCAATATTTGTTAAATGTGATGACTGTTAGTTAAGTATCAATGACGTTAAATGAGGATTTCAAGTCTCCATTTCATTAAAGACGACATTTACCTCCTTCCTTTTATTACAAGGCCTTAGTTAAAAGGTCGTCTTTTCATAAAATTTGGTTTTTACTTCTTTCCAATAAAAATAATAACCACTTGTAATTTACAAACAGTGGGACTTTTAAAACTAAGCTAAGAACATTCCCGTGGATCTACCGAGTTCCCCAATCAAAGTTTGGAGCAAATCATACAAGGGGTAACTGAGTTTTGATCGGACATACAAACAATAAACAAACAGGGATTACTACTTCTTATGGATTGGGTGGGGAAAAAATGAAGAAAAGCAACTTTTTTCCCCGTAATTTTTTATACTTAAAACCTAAAAATTCGTGGATTTTTCCAAAAAAAATTAATTTCCAAATTCAGTTAAAATAAAAACCCTAGAGAATATCACTTCTAAAAAATAATTTTTAATAAATGTTTTATTTATTATTTCAGGGTTAGGTTAGGTTAAGACAATTTCTGGGCCGAGTGCTGCGACTAGGACAGGCTAGGGGCCGAGCGCTGCAGCTGGTAGTGTAGTTCAAATGAACATAATACATCACTTAAAATATGTATTATTTCAGGGGTAGTTAGAACAATTTCTGGGCCGAGCGCTGCGGCTAGGACAGGCTAGGGGGCCGAGCGCCGTGGCTACAAGTTCAATGTCGTTTTACCCTATGGCATTTGAACCTTTGTCGGTGAATCATGTACTTCAAAATCATATCATTAAGAAGGGGTATGTCCGAATAACCTTCAAGCTTTTATCTGATCAATAATGTGGACCAGCGTTTCGGATCCGGATCCGGTCGGATCCGTATCATTTGGTCGGATCCGGATCCGGATCCGTATCAGGAAACGTTGATATGGATCCGGGTAGCGCCAAAAATTAACCAAAACCATGGAATAAATAAATCAAAATGGTTCGTAAATGTATTATTTACATGACGAAAATTTTTCAAAATTATCTTTAATAATTTAATGTTTACATTTATATAATAGTAATGACGACATTTTTGTTACATTTCGGAATATATAATAAATATAGTTTATAAATTATAACCTTGCATAACATTTAATAGGGAAAATCCGATTCACAGAATCAAAAGTTACCTCGGATCCGGATCCGTATCAGAGTCAGGATCCGGATCCATCATCACGGATGCGGATCCGCGGATCCGGATCCGCATCAAAATGATACGGATCCGAAACACTGATGTGGACACAGGACAATATTGTATTAGTAACTTGAAAGTGTTTAATTCTAGCAATTTCCTGTTTCTGTAGCAAGTCACTCTTAAACCAAAAAATAGAATTGAAAGTGATCATTTTAAAAATGAGAAAAACATAAATATTTCAAGCATCCATTAACAGACAAAGATGGGTGGGTTATGGGTGCCACTGTGAATCGGACATGCCAATCTTTTTAAAGGGAGGGTCACCTACACTCACGTTTTCAGTCCCTTTAACGGTTTTATTTTGTTGAGCTAAGATTACTCTTCTAATGAAAGTTATTTTAAGGACTGGGACAGAGACAAGATCCAGCCAACCCAGCTGTTGTCCTGGTGTTCTATATTTGTATTCTTTACATGAGAAATATTATCTGAGAAGTTTACCATTTCAGATAACAAATATACAATGAGACTAGACTTCATTTCTTCAGTATATTGCCAATAGAACCACCAGGAAAACATCCTTATCATTTATCATTCATACTTGTTTCTTTTACTAATATCACATATTTCTTATTTTAAATCTGATAATTATGTCTGTACCAGATTTCAACCTGTACAAGCCTTGCCTCAGCAGGAAAGTGATTTATATATTATCTATTAAAGATAAATTATATGGTCCCAGGTTAGAACCTAACGTTCTACAAGTTTGGAGAATAGGGGCGTGGCCGATATGCCTCGAGCTGGCGAATCCCTAAGGTTCGTAGATCAACACATTTCTCCCGACTGAATAAAAGTAAAATTCTTACTTTGGATTATCAAGACCCTTAGCTATGGGCTGTGCATGGAACTCCCGAGCATGCTTTTCTTCCTCCAGCAGCTTCTTTATCCTTTCCTCTTTACGTGCAGCAGACATAGTGTCCCTCTCTAGATATATTGAGAGACATGATAAAAATTCACGTTGAAAAACCCAGAAAAATCGACGAATTACGTCTGTTGTTTTTTGAAATGTTGGATAAGAAGATGTTCCGATGTATGGGAAGCAAAAAAAGAACCAAAGATGGACGCGACTTTTCTTGAAAACGCTAAATATAGAAACGTTTCAAAACAAACAATTTTAAACATATCGAGATCCAAAATTGACCAGTGGCCTCAGGCGAATTTTTAAAATGATAATAATGTTTTAAATTCATTGTTTAACTTTCCTCGCTATAAGTCAAAGTTACACAGAATACACGTTTTTTCCAAAGGGGCCGAATATGGTCGGTTCCACTTCAAGTATTAATTTCTTAAAGTTTTAAGCTGGCGCCCAATTGAAACGGGTTATTGGGGGATTTGAGACGCGACTTAAATGCATTAAATTCGGACACAGATTGACAATATGAATAAAAAACACCCGTAAAAAAATAAGATTTAAAAAGTGTTACATTGGAATTGATATATTTTACGTCTACGATTTATCATCAGTGAACATAGAAAAACCGCAGTTCTGAATACAGACCTGCGAATGAGAAAGGTTCAGGTACAGTTGACCGTTTATTAGCCTGGGGCAGTGCTACAGGGACTCCCCAGTGAGGAACAGGTTTAGCCTTCATTCAGCAAGTTATCTTCACATTTTTTGGCAGGCTTAGTAGACAAATGTAATATTTATGGCAGATTTAATGGACAAAGGTAACATTTATGGCAGATTTAATGGACAAATGTAATATTTAGAGCAGATTTAATGGACAAAGGTAAAATTTATGGCAGATTTAATGGACTAAGATACTAACAGTATTAGTGGCAGATTTAATGGACAAATGTAATATTTATACCAGATTTAATGGACAAAGGTAATATTTATACCAGATTTAATGGACAAATGTAATATTTATACCAGATTTAATGGACAAAGGTAATATTTATAACAGATTTAATGGACAAATGTAATATTTATACCAGATTTAATGGACAAAGGTAATATTTATAACAGATTTAATGGACAAATGTACAGATTTAATGGACAAATGTAATATTTATACCAGATTTAATGGACAAAGGTAATATTTATGGCAAATTAAATGGACTAAGATACTATTTGTAAAAGTAATTTGTAATGGACAATGCTACTATTTGTGGTAGATTTTATAGACTAAGATACTATTATTAACAGTGTCAGATGACTCAAGATATTTTAAGCGTCTGTATTATGTTTGTGAGTGTGACATTATTACTGGAATATTTTTCGCTGGGAGATTACTATTGTGACATTGTCAGCGAGTCAGAATATCTTTTTTGTTTCTACAGATAGTTCACTAATTTCAATTAGGGATTTATGCGTTTACATATCTTTGAAGGTAAAGATTTATTTCCATTTTTGACCCAAAAAAAATCTCACTAAAATTTTAAAGGTGGAACCAGATTGATCCTAGATTAACCCCTGCCTTGATTATACGCTCATGTTCAAGAACAGGTTCTACCGGGGCTCTTCTACTACCCAACCTAACAAACACAAAACTAATTAATCAATCACTTAGCCAGTCCACCAACCAACCAATTAATCATTCAGCCTGTCAACCAACTAATCAATCAATCAATCAATCATTCAGCCAGTCAACCATTCGCCAGGGGATCGATCAATGAATGAATGAATGAATGAATGAAAGGATGAATGAATGAATGAATGAAAGGATGAAAGGATGAAAGGATGAAAGGATGAATGAATGAATGAAAGGATGAATGAATGAATGAATGAATGAATGAAAGGAAGGATGAAAGGATGAATGAATGAATGAATGAATGAATGAATGAATGAATCAATCCGCTAGGGATCAATTATCAATCAACCAACAAATCAACCAAATCAATCAATCAATTGTGTTTACCTCTGCTTCAGAGCAAATGCAGGGGATTCCGGTTCCACTACAGGTAAAACTTTTCTATCAGGGATTCCTAAAACAGAAGAAGATGATTATGGAGTGAAAATAGTTTAAAACTTTTCTTGAAAAAATCTTTTTTCTTCACAGAAAAAGTTTAGCGACATAAACATTGTTTTTAATTGTTTATTAAACAATTTAAAAAAATCAAGTGGTTTAAACCTTACATAAAACAAAAATGTTAAAACTTAAAACTTCATAAGATCCAATTCGTTAGACCATTCCTTACGGTTACTCTAGGTCTGGATCCAGATCAGAAAATGTATGCAGATAAACGGATCCGGATTCACAAAGTATCAACAAAACCAACAAAACCAACGAAACAATTTTTTAGCTCTCAAAACACACATTTTCATTGTATTGTAGTGATGAAATCTCCCTAATAATTGAATCACTTATTAATTGAACAATTTTTTTTCGTTTGCTTTCTACTAAAAGTAATGAGCTAACTTTTAAACAAATGTTCATAAGCTGGAGGCACAGGACGGATCCAGGATCCGGGTGCACTATTAACAGGACGGATCCAGGATCCGGGTCGACTATTAACAGGACGGATCCATTTTTTACAGACGGATCCAGGATTTAGATCCGTTTATTTAACCAAACGGACCCAGGAACCGGTTTTATTTTTTACAAGACAGATCCAGAATCGGGATACATTTAGTTTACAAAATGTATCTAGGAACCGGATCTTTTTAAAAAAACGGATTCCGGATCCATTTTTAAGACGGATCCCGGATCCAGATGAAAATGAAATAAATCCTAGGAACTGATGGATCCCAACCTGTTGGTCCTTGAAGGATCTTCTTATTGAGAGGCCGGCTATGGAAGGGTTCAACGTGCTCCTCCTGAAGTTGAGGTTTAGCGAATGGTTTTGATGCTTTGGCGAGGTTAAAGGGTTGAGGAATGGTGCAAGGACGTTTCTCCACCTCGCCGTAGTTATATCTGTATAAATTGTCTTTTTGAAGTGTCCACCTGATGAACAAAATATCGCGGATTTTCATTCATTGCGCATTTCTTACGGTAGATTAACGCAATATAGCTAGTCAGAGCAGATTTTTTGCCTTTATGAGAAAAGATGAAAATTTTGAAATTAACTGGGAAGTTTAAAATCTTTTTACATTTAAAAAAAAAAAATCAAAAAAGTTTTTTAAGTAGTATAGCCCTACTGACCTAGGGAGCGTCTCTCCGACCGCCTTGGCGTGGAACTGGTTCATCTTCATCTCCTTCAACTCCAACTCCTCCTTCTCCTTCTGGCTCATGACATAAGTGGGTCGGCTTCTACCTACAATTATTTTCAATGCATTTTCTGGTTTCAATCAAAAAATTTTTTCTTCAAAGTTAGATTTTTAAAAAGTATAAACAGCTGAGAATTCTTGAACCGTGGATTTTGAAATCAAGCATGGACCTCGATCTTGAATTTTGCGATAAACAAATGAGAGAACAGAGAAATAGCGAATATCCAAAATCAAGAGAGGTGCCTACTGCCTACTGTAGATTTTGAGTTCAGATAAAATCAAATCACAAGTTGCAGGGGTGGCCAAGACTCCAGTAATAGATCGAAGTTTCAAGCCCTCGACATGTCCTGGCTTTTCAGCCCGGACTTCACTGCTGTGAATAAATAACTCTTTTTTAACTTACCTTTCGTTGTGAGCATAGGGGTCTTGGGGACTGTTAGTTTAGGGGACTGAGACCTAGAAAACACAGAAATTTATGAAGCTAGAAAATACTTATGAATATTAGATAAAAAGTAAGATAATAGTCATAAGACAGCCATCGAATTTTTTGCATTTCTATTTGATTTAAAATACTGAAAAATTCGCGACAAGTAATTAATTACTATTTCGGAATCTTATAGTTTTGGAAATAATTAAAGGATAGGTTTAGGCAATCAATTGAAGGGGTTTTAGCTAAGACTTTATAAATGATTGAATCATTTAGAAAGTCTAAGCTGAAACCCCTTCAAAGACGATGTGCACTGAATTAATTGCGATTTAACATGAAATTTTGAAGGCTGAAAAAAGCTTTGATCAACTTAATTTGATTTGATGTGAACAAAATCACTCCCCCCCCCCCCCCTCCAAACCAGATTTGCGTGAGGGATGAGGAGTTTACCTAAGGCGAATCTTATTAGGACTAGATGACCTCCCTCTAGGCTTTGACCGGAATCTATCAGGAGTGCCTGCCTGGAATCTGACGTTAAAAAAAAATTAAGATTTAAAATAAAAGTGCAACCTCTCGTGATTATAGTATTGTAAGGTTAGGTGAAGTTATGACAGGTAAATAATTACAGTAGGTTGATCTATCTTAAGTGAACTACGCATTTATCAAGACACATTGACGGCCAAGTAGGCTTGTGCAGTGGCTTTGACACATTGACGACCAAGAAGACCGTGTAAAGCAGCTTAGACACATTGACGACCAAGAAGACCGTGACACATTGACGACCAAGAAGACCGTTAATGGCAGCTTAGACACATTGACGACCAAGAAGACCGTGTAAAGCAGCTTAGACACATTGACGACCAAGAAGACCGTGTAAAGCAACTTAGACATATTGACGACCAAAAAGATCGGGTAAAGCAGCTTAGACACATTGACGACCAAGAAGACCATGTAGAGCAGCTTAGACACATTAACGACCAAGAAGACCATGTAAAGCAGCTTAGACACATTGACGACCAAGAAGACCGTGTAAAGCAGCTTAGAAACATTGACGACCAAGAAGACCGTGTAAAGCAGCTTAGTCACATTGACGACCAAGAAGACCATGTAGAGCAGCTTAGACACATTAACGACCAAGAAGACCAATTATAGCAGCTTAGACACATTGACGACCAAGAAGACTTGTGTAAAGCAGCTTAGACACATTAACGACCAAGAAGACCAATTATAGCAGCTTAGACACATTAACGACCAAGAAGACCGTGTAAAGTAGCTTAAACACATTAACGACCAAGAAGACCAATTATAGCAGCTTAGACACACTAACGACCAAGAAGACCATGTAAAGCAGCTTAGACACATTAACGACCAAGAAGACCATGTAAAGCAGCTTAGACACATTGGTGGTCAAGAAGACCGTGTACAGAAACTTGGATACATTCATGGCCAAGAAGACTGTGTACAGCAGCTTGGACACATTGACGACCAATAAGATCGTGAACAGCAGCTTGGACACATTGACAGAAATATTGGGGAACTTGCAGTCTGCTAAAAGATTTTTTTAGAGAAGTACTAAGATTAAAGAGAAGTACACTAAAATCGATTGATCAGAATAATTGATTAATTGGCTGATTGATTTAATTAATTGATTAATTGATTACTTGGTTATTTGTTCCGCCATGGATCTGTATTTATCCTTTGCTGAGTTTTCTTCTGAGTGTCTTCTCTTCCTGTTCATCTCTGCTCTAGATTTAAATATATTTAAAGGAACTGTTCTCTTCCTGTTCATCTCAGCTCTAGATTTAAATATATTTAAAGCGACTGTTAACGTAAAGTAACCCACTTTTGTATGAGTGCCAAGTGCGGTTCAAAATGTTAACTTTTTTCTGTTAAAGATTGAATTAGATCCATCCATGTTATTTTTGTAATCTAATATTTTCGACTGCTTCTTCCGAAACAATTCACAATTTATCAGAATTGAACACTTTTCAAACAAGAGACAACAATATCTTCCACATTATTGATTAGAAAAGGTTTCAAGGGTAACAATCTGCATCGGGCATAGCCCTCTTTAAATGGAAGGCCACTTGAAATTACAACAAAAATCCCTTTAATAATTTCTTAGGAATGTTATTTGTTTCCTTTGCTTAATAAATTTGGTGGAAAAACAGATGTCCATTTTGTGTTCCCCCCCCCCCCCCCTCTTCTAACTCTATAAAATATTTCCCCGTAGCTTGCTTTGACCCGCAAAATCTGAAATGGTTCTATAAGGATGACACTGAATTATTCAGGGAAAACATTAAAAGGAAAAAATCTTTTTTCGTCTAAATTTTTCGTTTGCATTCAACAGTTATTTACCTGGGGAATGGAACTGGTTTTGTCGTCTCTTTGTTTACATTACTCTCCACTTAAAAGAAATCCATCAAAACATACGTAACCATTTGAATTTATAATAATCAACACGTGATAAAGCTATATAAAATTCGGATATAAGAAAATATAGATAAGCTTAAGCTTTAAGTAAGATCACACATACGGTTAAACTAAAAATATGATGTTTAATGCTATAAAATAAGATACTGTGGGGGGTAATATAATTATCAATGACCCCCCGACCCCACTTGTCACGGAGATCAAATTCGGATATAAGAAAATATAGATAGCTTAAGCTTTAAGTAAGATCACACATACGGTTAAACTACAAATAAGATGCTAAATGCTATAAAATAAGATACGGGGGGGGGGGAGTATAGTTATCAATGACCCCCCGACCCCACTCGTCACGGAGATCAAATTCGGATATAAGAAAATAAAGATAGCTTAAGCTTTAAGTAAGATCACACATACGGTTAAACTAAAAATAAGATGTTTAATGCTATAAAAAAAGATACGGGGGGAGGGTTAATATAATTATCAATGACCCCCCGACCCCACTTGTCACGGAGATAAAACAGGAAGAAAAATAAATATATGTTTTGTGTTCCTGTAGGTTTACTATAACTTCGGAGCAGTCTAGAGAAATCTGGGGCATCGGGGACACTCATAGATCTACGACGAGATTCCTGAATAAAGAAACTGAAATTAAGTTTTTCGGTTTGATAACAAATTATGGTAAAATAATAAGAAAAATATGCCTACAGGGCTTTAAGTGATAATAGCAGTTTTGAAAAAATAAGAAAGATCCCTGAAAAAAGGACAAAATGAGAAAAGGCAAATAGTTATTTCATCAAGGGGGGGGGGGACCCCAAAGATAAACTTACCTTGACCCTAGCTGACGTGGCAAACTTAAACTCCGCTGGTCTGGTCAACACAGTAGCTTTCAACGCCGGCTATATTTTAAAATATATTTTTAAAAATTAATATTAAGGTCACTCATAAGAGGTGTGTATATTTGCATAAAATTATCACCCTCCACCTCTTCAAAATTAAATTTCGCACCCCTTAAGAGATAAAATTCGTTCCCCAGTACACTAAGATAATTCTTCAAAATACTACAGAATACTTGAAACTGTAAAATAGGAAAACGATTGCTAGACTTAAGTTATGATTTTGAATAGCCATTGAACATGAAGTCTTATCAATTTGGGCAGTGTACATTTACAGTGGACAGACCCATTTCACTAAGTTAATTGATTTAAGCTACTGATAAAACTGTTTGCGTTAAAATCAAATACACATTAGATTGTTTAAAGGTCGTCTTTCTTTTCCACTATTTACGGGTCACACAGTGGATTTTTTTCTTTCCAATGAAAACCTCTATACTTAGGTTACCTGAGCGTTGGCTTTCATTGGCTGGTTCAGTTTCTTCCCAGTTATAGATTTCTTAACTTTGAAATCAGCACTCTCCTAGTAAATAACAAGTTCTTATCAAAAATCAATGTTGGATGAAAATACCGTTGATGATAAGTTTTGAATACTTGATTCAAGAAGAATCGCAGACATATATATTTCTTGGAAGCCCCCCCCCCCCCATGCTTTTTTAAAGGTTTTAACCGCCGAATTGGGGAAATACATGAGTTTTTGAGAGGAATCAAAAAGGGGAAAAACTTACCTTTTGATGTTCAGGGGGGCTGGGTTATTTCTTGAAAATATATACCCCTTAAGAATTGCTCTTGAAAATATATACCCCTTAAGAATTGCTCAATATTAATAGTTTTCAGAAATCACGAATGAAGAACTTGTCAACGTAAATTTATACTGGGGTGTTTATTTTCTAGAAAATCATTCCCTCCCCCCCTGTTGTGTAATTTATTTAATGGTTCTCAATAATTTGTTAAATGTTATTGGAACGCGGTTTGTAAATTGAGAACAGTCCCTTAGCGCATTTTGTAAATTTAGAGCAATCCCATAAATAGCTTGATTAAATTCGTGATTTGGTTCTGAATAATAATATTCTCAATATTTTTTACATATTCTGTTTGTTTATTTACTGTTTGTTTACAACTTTAAACCAGTTTGCACTAAATTCTGTGCAGTACTCTTGGCCATCTGGTCTCACTACCAGGTTAGAAAGATTGAGCAAATTTTTCCACATAAAGTCAAATTGGTTAAAATTGTTAAAATATTTTAATTAATAATTTGGAATTCTTTCATTTTTTAGTTGGATTTAGTTTGTGAAATCGGCGGATCTGAGGTAGAATTTTATATTAAAGGCTCTATTTACGGCTTTATTTACAAGTGAAATCTTTTTAAACAGTGAAATAGTTATTAACCCATTGATGCCAAAAGCGTCGTTTTTTGATCCGTTCTAAAACTTTTAAATTTGGAAGATTTTCTTGTTTCTTTT